GATTCATTTATCTCTTAATCACAGCGGGGTCAGGTTCCTTACAAAATTATATCAAAAGGAAAAACGTTATACAAATTAAGTAGAAAGCAATAGAAAATAACGTATTCATCAGAACAGTAGCTCAACCTTATTTAATCTTATCGCTCTTTACAATAATTGATTAATGTAAACTCGTTTTTCTTAATATGTGATCATCATGTCTAAACCAGAAAACCGCAACACGAGTTCAGATCATACTGGCCGGGAATATCTCTTTTGTCAGTTTTCCAAATTATTTGATAAACTCCTTAATAGGCTAATGCCAATGATTGAGTATAAAAAAAACACCAAATCAGTTTGACTTTCAACTGCAGCCACTCTAGGATTGACCAGATCCATCGGATCACAAGAGTCATTGAACAAGCAGTTGAAAAAGTAAATAAATAAAATAAAAAGTATACCCAACTGTATACTACTGTATAAGATGTGGCCCAAACATTCGATAATGTCTGGCATGAAATATTTATAAAATAATAAACTCCATTCCAGCAAACTACTCAAAACTTAGTGGATCCCACCTGCTGGCAGGTAGTTCATATCAAGCAATAAGACTCCGGACCTAATACGCTGATTTGCTGCTGGTGCAGTGATGTGGTGAAAGAGTAGTTTAAGAACGAAAAAACTATATTATGTATAAGTTAACCATCCATAACCATAAGTTTTATTCTCTATGCTAGTTATTACAAAATCTTACTTATTAGCTATGTTAATAGCTAGATTGTAATATCAATAAAGTATTCGCCTGTGAGGATTGGAAAATTGATACATGATAAATTTGTGGAATTTGTCTGTGTAGCACCAATTATGAGGAATTTCTTCTAACTTGGGACATACTCCAATAAAGTGGAAAATATTTTCAACAATTTATGGCCGATTAAACACAGGGCAGCGGGTCATCTACTATACATTCCTGAAGGGGGTGGTATTGAATATTGACGTATCTACACAAATTTTAATTATCCAACGTTTAATTTCCTCATTATTATAAGATTTTTTCCCAAGCTCTTAGTACAAAGGATATTTCTCAGCAGTCATCATCCATCTAACTATCCTTATAAGTAGGCTTTCCTTATATTGATTTAAAGAATTTAAATGTTTTAAATTTACATGCGTCGTCATCGCTTAAAGTATAATTTGTTGCCAATTTTCCAGTTAAACTGGTAGATACACAGATTTTTTTTAGCAACAACTCTGTACAGAAACGGGCCAGAATCAGAGATGAGCTATGCTTCAACATTGGAACGACGTCCATAAATATTTTTAAGTCTGGACGAGGATTTACGTGCTACGTTCCACCTTGAGGATGATTATCATTGGAGCTGATCGCTCTGTTTGGTCCCTCTATTCTATTTTAAAAGTTTCACTCGTACGCGTATCGGCTTCAGTTCAACATGTTTTATTTATAATAAAAGTCGGTGAGCTTTTTCGGACAAAAATCTCACGATAATACCAGGGTGGTATGTAAATTGTAAAACATAAGATCCAGGAGGAAACCCGTCACCGGATCGATTTGCTCGTTAGGTAAGTATTTTTCTTCTTGACAGAAGAACTTTTAAATGACACGATAAATAACATCGCCGGGCGGTCCGCAGTCTAGATGACGGCCCAGATAGAAAGTCGAGACGGCTCAATTTGTCTACCGGCAAAAATTCATCTTCCACAGGAGAAAAAACACCGGTTCTCAATAATTGCAACGCAATTTAATATTTTTTTAAGATGGTGTAAATTCCAAAACAGAATATCTATTACAAAAAGCAATCTATCATCATAGTTCGAAACGTCAAGGATTTTGAGATGTACGATTACTGGCAATCTGATGGTCATCGGAGAGAAAATGAGTCTCATTCCAGGGGGTCAAAGGACAAAAGGTCTCCTGCTCAAATAAGAATACTTCCTGAGAGCGTTTAAGGCCGTGATCGGTTGCCACCGTTCCGGATACTGTCGGACCTTCTCAGGTTGACGTTTTTATGCCGAGCCGGCCTCTTTTTTTGGCAAAAAATCTAACAGCCCACGACCCCCGGAGATCTTAAAATTTCCTCTTCGACCCGTTTTAATAGTTAACAACGCACAGTAATTTTTTTCTACCAGGAGAATCTAACCAGATCACCTTTGGGAGTCACGTGGAAATAAATGCTCCCGGTAATTCTTATTTATCACAATTCAATGTTAAAGCCTTGGAATGTTTTTAATAAAGAGAAGGCATGAATTGACATTAGCCATGCACACACGCAAATGGTAACATTTTAGTGGACTTGGTAAAGAACATGTTCGCTTGGAATAAATATCTTTTTGGTAACGAGAGACTGAGACAACTGATTTTAAAAAATTCCAGTCAAACGAATTATGAAAAAACCATGATAGCCTACGGATCAGTGGTTTAATGGACAAAGACATTACAGCTCAAGACGGTCCAGATCGTCAGTACTGCTCACAGACTGGGTCTATGAGAACAACCCCCACGTCTGCCTTGTAAGTCCTTCTGAATCTACTACTACACATCTTTATCCAGGAAAAGAGGCCAGAGCCATAATTCATAGACTAATGCAGGAACAGGCTTTAATAGCCTACTGACATAACAAGGAGCAAATAAAGCTTTGAGAGAAGACTCAGTTAGATAGAACTTTTGGGGAGCCTGCCTGCCATGACCCCTAAATTCAGTTTTGAAAAAAAAATTCTATCAAAACACCTCGTAGAGCAGATTGGGAGAAAGGGATCCCAGTTATGCTGACCATATCTTGTTTACAGATGGCTCAAAATTTAATGTTATGAGCTGTCATTTATTGAAATAAACCAAGGACTAGAATTTATATAAGCCAGTGCCAGGGAGATAAAAAGGCTGGGGATCGTCAATAGAAGAATAGCCATCTAATTAGACAGTCAGGCGGCACTGAAGGCAATTGCCGCATCGACAGTAAAGTCCAGAGTGATTTAGGACTGCATTAGAGCCCTGTCAGACATGTGGGAAAATAACAAACTTGTCCTTGTCTGGGTGCCAGGGCACACAGGGCAGAGAGGCAACAAAGAGGCTGATAATTGGCCAAGGAAAGTTCAATGAAGACACCTATTGGCCTTGAACCTTTTGGGCTTACCAAACTGCCAGAAACGTTGATCCATTAGTCAGTGGATTAATAATAAGTCCTCCACTCAATGGGAGTGTAGCTCGGGTCAGAGGCATGTGAAAAAGTTTACCAAAGGACCATTGGAGAAAGTAAAGGCAGAAATACTAAATCTAGGATGTGCTAGGACTAGAATAATAGTTGGACTGCTGCTAACTGGACACTGCAGACTTCAGACGCATACGTACAGAAGAAAAAGAAACAGCCGCACGCATCCTGTGTTGCTATTTCTAATCCTGTGAGAGGAAAACCATGAAGGATACACATGGGAGCCCTTGAAAAAGCTTTGGGATCTGGTAAAAAGCCTCAAGCTTAACGAGAAGCTCTAGATACAAAATTGGAGATGCACAATAGACCAATACTGGTCACAGTACCCAGTTCGTAAAGAGGTGTTCCTATATAATCTAATCCAAGGGATGATTTTAAAAAATTCTGGCCAAACAAATTATGAAAGAAAACTTGTACTGGTTTAAAGAATTAATAGACCAGGAAAATGAGGTTAATGCTACTCTTAACTATGAAAATGTGCCCATTTGGAAAAGTACCTTAAACTTAATTCAACATTCTCTAAAGTCACATCACAAAAAACCGTTTTCTGGAAAACATTAGAAGCAGTGATTGATATATAGTGAGCAGAGATAAGCTTTGGTTTAAAAAATAATTATTATTTACAAAGTAACTAAGTCTAGACAGTAAACGACTGATACTGAAAGTTAGAGAAGAAATGCTCAAATTGAACATACTTCCGTTGACTTTTTGGCGAGTCCCCAGAGTCATGTCCTCTTTGTAATTACCTTGTAACTGAAGACAAGTACCATTTCTTATTTGTTTGTCTGAGACTAACTAAAATTATATTGTAGTGGATGGGTGCAGAGGTGTTAGCTGGTGAGGAATCAATATTGCATTTAAATGGTAGGAAGGGTCATGATTATGTTTATTTTGCTTTAAATAAAACTATAATGAGGATTTTATTTGGGACAGACGGTGATTTTTCATTTTTTTAAATCACTGGCACTAATCTTTATTCGAACTTGTGAATGATATGATTATTTACTCAGTGTAAATATCTGCACAAAAAATGTTTGCTCTCTTCCTTATAATTTTTCCGAATTGTACCATTTAAACTGATGATTTGATTATGTAATTTATTTATTTTTAATAAAAGTGATACAAAAACATTTTGTGGCTGTTCAAGGCTGATGGTGTCATACTCCATGCCTTGTGTTTAATGTTTATTATAAGAAAATGTTTTGGTGATAATTTAAGTTAATTATCTATCCAGGTATCTAGCTATACAGTACATATACCACTGAATGATAAAAACCATTTTTAGGGTGAATTCCTGTTATTAAATTGGATCTTAATTCAACTAACTTTTTTTTGCTTACTAAAAAACTTTGTAATGGAATGATTCAGTAAAAATTACACTAATGACATGTTGAATCTTATTTGGTAACAAAATTCACATTCAATTTTGTAAATGATAATAAGTCCATCATGTTACACATTTTCTCAATATAACAGGTTTTGTATTTTTTATTTTAATGTATTTTACAAAACTGTTTTATACTCCAAGTTGTCAAATTTATTACAAGGGTAATCATAATACTTATAGTTGATATATTTAATTGTTTATTCACTAACTTGTTTTCTACAATACAAGTAATAATTTGAAAGTTTTTAAACAGCAATTAAAAGCTTTTGTTTATAAAAATATTGTATCAAATTATGGATAATAGATACTGAACACCTTATGTACAGTAGTTAACTTTTGTTTAAACTTAACTGTTGTTTAAACAACCATTTTGACACTAGTCTGCTCAAAGGATTAATTTAACCAATAAATAACACATTGCAAGTTTATTAAAGATTTTTATAAAACAGAAAAATCAAATCTTCCAGAAATATAAAACATTTTACTAATATATAGGAGGAGGGGGAGGGGGAGCTGGAGCAGAGGGAGGAGGAGGTGGAGGAAAAGGTGGTCTTGGAGGGAATCCTTGAGGAGGAGGTGGAGGCCCCCTCCAGGGCATCGGTGGAGGTGGTGCTTTTGGAGTGGATGGCGGTGGTGGAGGTGGGTAGTGCCACATAACTGGCGGTGGTGGGCCCGGCGGCGGCATCGGCGGCATAGGTGGAGCAATGTTGGGCGGCATCCGCTGGGGCAAGGGCGGAGGCGGCATATGTGGTGGGGCGACAGGAGGAGGTGGTGGAGGATTGAAAACGGGCGGCGGCATGATTGGTGGTGGAGGGAGAGGTGCTGGGGGAGGAGCATCGGCAAACATGTGATGCGGTCTGTCAGCTTGAGATAGAGGATTCTGGGCAGCAAGCAACCGTTCTGCTGCAGAGCCATGCCTTTCTCCTTTTGCATCCTTCTTATACGCGTAAGAAACTGATACTGGCCTGTTACACAAAAACTGACCATTCATCGCATCTATCGCAGCATCTGATGCATCAAAACTTGCATAGTTAATAAAAGCAAATCCTTTTGAATTGCCAGTATCTGGATCTCTCATTATCTTCAAAATACAATGTTAACAATAAATTAGATGTTAAAACCAGATGTATCAGTTAGATAACAATAAATACCTTGGGCGTTTGAAGGATAACACCAAAAGCAGAAAAAGTATCATACAGTAATTTCTCATCTACCTCAGGATCCAAATTTCCTATAAACACATTGGCTCCAACATCTAAGTTCTTCTGATGAGCAGATGCCTGAATAAAATTAAATAATCATTGTTGAATTTATAAATTAAATTAAACAAAGAACATATTTTCATCCAATTTTGCAAATCGATGCTAACCTTGTTTACTCTTATGGGCTTTCCATGTACTTTAATCATATTCATGATTTTAATAGCATAATCCGCATCCTCTTCTCCTAGGAATTCAACAAATCCATAACCCTGATGTTGTTGAGTTACTCTGTCTTTAGGCATGTGAACATTTACTAAAACAATTTTTCTTTTGTTGACTAAACCATTGACAAAACATGTAAACAATGTAATTCTTGAAATACTTCAAAATTAACAACTTTCACTATTTATAAAGGTCTCTGGTTGGGTCAAGTTGTATTACTAAGCGGTAAAAATTAAACAACTTACAAGCATCTGAAACAGGAAGCTGAGATGTTATCTTCACCTCCTGAAAAGGGGAGGGAGTAAGTTTTTAGGCAATTTCTTTTTGAATTTATTTATTAAATTTCTTTCTATTAAATATGTATTGGAGAGTGCAAGTCCAATTCTGATTAAATGGTTAAATAAAGATTGAATGTGTCTACGTGATTAAGTGTTAAGCATTGAAGTTATTTCAACAAAAATCTTATAAAATGTTGTTTGGGAAATTTTTCAACGGTAGAAGTCAGATTTAGATTATGTTTAGATTTTGTAGAAAATGATGAAATATGAAACAATTACATATACTACTACATGTACATACATATTTTATTTGTAATTGAATTTATTGACGTATTATTGAGGGTCTTTGTGAACCCAAAAAAAAGTCTGCTTCATCACAAAGACCTTATGATTATACTTCAATAAATTCTAATGTGATTACTGTCAGGTCGATAAAAACCCAACTTTAATATCTTTTATTCTTGCTATATAGCAAGTAATTGAGGTTCCTAGACCAACTCGACTTGTGTGTTTAATATTAGAATTCTTGCAATACTGTCATCATTATCACATTTGATTTAACCAAAAGCCTCACCTTTTTATGCCAATTTTATGATCCAGTGCTCATGAGAGGAACTGGATTTTGTTCTGTGAAAGGGGAAAAAGTTTGAGAAGCCCTGTTAGCGGTTATTTCAATTACTTGGCAGAAATTCAGAAATGTGCAATAACAAATAAAACCTCTATTTCAACTTCATTTGGATATAACCAGAGAAACTGACATGAACCAAATGCCATGTTTACATTTGTTGTTGTACATTTAAAATCTGAATAATTTTGGATTGATTGAGCAAATGACACTTCTTATTTACAAAGTTTATCTAGGGAAAAATGATGTTTTAAATATCAAATACACATTCATACAAATTTATTTACTTGTTGTAACATTATGCTTATTAATTAAAACCTTAATAAAATATGTTCTTACAAGTATACATCATCAAGGCATTTTACTCTTCAATTTGCGTATGTAAAAATTTACTCACCTACGGGTCCAGCTTGCACAAATAATTCCCACATAAGAGTTTCAGACACCTTATCATCCAAGCCCCCAACATAAATTGTTGCATCTGCAAATTTTAAAACAAATTTAAGTAAAATAGAATATTCTTTCCTATTAACAACAATAACAATTTGTTATTGTCTCAATATAATTGATATCAGCTTTCAATTAAAATTTTGTATAACAAATTAGGGATAAAGCCAATTTGAAAGAGAAAAAATACTCACTTTTTGTAAAATATGGCTGTACTCACAAAATCGTTGTTACCAACTATCAGGAATTCAAGCATTAAATGCTCATCATTAGGTTGAAGAATAAATCATTAGAATTGTAGAAGTACTTACAGTACAGATAGTTGGGGCTAAACTCAGAGGAGTGGTCGGACTATTAACCGGTCACTGGTATCTGGGAAAAAATCTACACAACATGGGTATATACAGTGATGATCCCATTTGCAGATTATGTAATAAGGAGGAGGAAACAGCCACTCATATCATCTTCGAATGCGAAGCAACAGCTCAATGGAGGCTTAGCCTAACGTACAGAAAAGACTTAGGGAATCAAATTGCAGCAGCAATAGTCAACGACCTGATACTTCTAAGAAGAAGGATTGAGTCTATTGACTGAACTAAGGAACTAGGAAGGTACAATAAGCCAGAAGGCTGCAGTGCCTGGGGAATACAAACCCCACTTACTAGTATCCTTTTCCACCATACCATACCATACCATACAGATAGTTGCTAACAATTTTGTGAGCAGAAACATCATTTTCAAAAAGTGAATTGACAAACTCACACCACCCCAATTAGTTTTAAAAATGCTTAGTTCCTTTATTGAATTATAGTTCAATATAGAATGGATGGGTTGTAGATATAACAAGGGTTCGTAATCGCAGAGAGCATATCAACCCTCGAGGTCTTTTTATTTTTTAATTTTTTTTTTTTTTTTGGGGGGGGGGATTTAAGTATGCCAGGTTCAAATGCAGGGCCGCTAGATTCGAACCCAAGACCTATACCTTTCAACGATGAGCACCATGTCATCGCCTAAACCGTTGGGACTCCTGATGCCCCCTTATCTTCTTCAGTATTGTAAGTAGATGTTCATTTCAACATTTAAAACAATCTTTCAATTAATTATTCTTTCTATGTAAGGTCATGGTTGAGATAAAAAAAGTCAGTGTCATGAGCGGGATTCGAACCCATGACCTTCGGTTAAATACGCCACTACTCTACCACTTGAGTTATCGTGACTTCGATCCTCTCGGACACCAACTCTCCACCTACAATCGTTCAAATTTTCCCTTTTTGCCATTTTCAAATGTCGTGTAATCAGGATTGGATTCTCAGCGACTTATAAAGTGGCCTCGGGGAGCTGTTTAGTGAAGTGATACTTCTTTTAATTATTAAATATTATAATAAACCAAGGTCTTGGTTGAGATAAAAAAGTCAGTTTCAAGAGCTGGATAGACCTTACATAGAAAGAATAATAATTGAAAGAAGTAACTTCGTCAATTGTCAACTAAAACGCAAATGAGTTAAAACAATATTGATACTCACAACCTAAATTTGGTTAGTAATATGGATTTCAAGCATTTACATGTTCATCGGCAGACCGAATTGAAATCTACATCTACATTTTCCACTCTACAATTTTCCAAAAACACAAATGCAGATATCTGCAACATAGGTTATCTATCAACCTTGTCCCCAGGGTTTTTTGGTTTTTTTCTCTTTCTTTCTAAAAGGGTGTAGGAAGTAGAATAGTTGTAAAACTTAAGTTGTTTGTCCAGTGGCCCTGAAACAATATTTTATTGTTTATGCTCTAACTTTGTTATGTTAATATGGTAGATACATATAAGAAAAACCTTAAAGCGTCCACGTAAAATGAAGTTTTAAATTGCCCCGGTATGTTAGAAATATCTATAAAACTATAATTTAATCTGTACTGTCAGACTAAGCCTGGCATAGTGTACAAGAGAAACCAGAGAATGCAAATTGATGAAGTTTTCCTAAGCCTCGGCAGGCTTGAATGACCAATTCCAGTGGACAAGAATCAATGAAATAAACTAGAATGTCTATTTAAAAAAAGTGATTACATTTTCACTCTAATGACCGACCTGTTGGAAAAAGGTCTAAGGTATTGTACCTATTAAAAATAAAGTCTTGGGTTCGATTCCCAGAGGATGCCGAGATGCGTGAGGGCAGAACCTCCGCGAACGCCGACCGGCTTGGCTATGCTTCGGCACGTTTTCAAATCTCACCTTGGTTCCTTTCGGCAATCGGTCCAGCAGCCATCGCCGAACGTTCGTGTACAGAAGAAAAACGACGGTTTTACAAACGCATGTGTGCTAGGCGACGGTTGTGCGAGATTCGAGAAGATCGGAGGACGTGCACTTCAGACTTCGGTCAGGTGTAGTGTACTCTTCGGACTTCGACAACATACAGTTAAATAAAACGATACCTAAAAACTATCGAATTACTACTCGATTATTATCGAAGTATCGATACTTTGTAATATGAAAGATACTTGGTACTTTTTCTATGCCTATGATCAGGCGTAATAGACTTGTTCATATTTTATTATTTCTATTCGTTCTATTAACTGTAGTTCTCCTATTGACAGAATGATGCGTTCAGCCAATAACTTTCCACATCTTAATATTAAATATTATTAATTCTTCTTTTTCTTCATTCTACAGTCAAGTTTGAAGATATGTTGAATTATTATGTATCTTTTAAGTTAAATTATCTTTTATATAGGTGTATGTACATATTTACATTTTTAACTTTTCATTTTTTCTAGTTAAAATTTTTTAACTGTATATAATTATTATCTTTAATTATTACGTATCTTTTAAGTTGAATTATCTTTCATAATTTTTATATTAATACATATTATTATCTTGAATTATTACATCCTTTTGAGTTAAATTTTATTTCATAATTTTTATATAAATACAATGTTTTTCATATAAATTATTTAACTTTCACTTATGTATGTGTATGTATGTATATGTACACATATTTAACTTTTAATTATTTCTAGTTAAAAAAATTGAACTGAATATAATTATTATCTTGAATTATTACATTCTTTTGAGTTAAATTTTCTTTCATAATTTTATAATATACAATGTTTTTCATATAAATTATTTAATTTGCACTTATGCATGTTTATGTTTGTATATGTACATATTTCGGTATTTAACTTTTAATTATTTCTAGTTAAAAAAATGGAACTGAATATAATTCAACTATGTATAGAATACTCCATGGGGAAGGAGGTGCTGGTCAACAGCTAGGTCAATTCAGCACCCAACGTGCATGCAGTTCCAAACTCATTCGTACTAACGTTTATTCTCAAATACATTCACTCCTATTTACACACCATTAGGGTAGTGAAATACTCGCGATATTACTCCATCAACCTTTACACATATTACACAACTAACCTTATTATGGGTCGATGGGGTACTCGATATTCCGCCATCGACCCCCTCACATCACACATTCACGCTAATATGTATGTTCATGCTAATAAATACTATTTTTATGAAAGGTATTGGTTGAGACAAAAAAGTCAGGGTCGCGAGCGGGATTCGAACTCACGACCTTCCGGTAAATATGCCGCTGCTCTACCACTTGAGCTATCGTGACTTCGATCCACTCGGACACTAACTTCCCATCTCAACCTCACTTCTCGAATTTTCCCTCCGTTTTGCCATTTTTTCGAGATTATCAACAGAGGCAAACACAGCATCAATTGCAGAACAGACATATGTAAACTCAGTCGCAAAACGCCAATATCATTAATCAAATTCAATATAGATAACATACATATATCATCACATCACACAAAACATATAACATATAAAACATAGTCTAATTCAGGGGTGCTCAAACTTGAACTGCTGGCGATCTACCTCAATATTTTTAGACTACTTACGATCGACTCTGAGAGGCTGCAAGTGTGTGTGATGCAGGGTTGTCGTACATACACGATACACCCTACCTACCTAGGTAGGGTGTACCGTAGCATATATAGATATTAGCTTTCTGCACAATATAGGTACATTATTTTAGTCANTAAATCCCAGGCCCTGAAGATGATCTCAATAAAGATCGAAACGTTGGCACGATAAAGAAAATGTTTTTCTGAAACCTACATCACACCAGACCGCATCTCACGATTTCCGAATAATCATCCACTAACGGTCACTAATCACCACGCATTTATTTTATTGTTTCATTTTAAACCATATAGGACATATTCATGGAAGTTTATGTTACCTAGAGAGATAAAATAGTTTTTCAACTTTTTTCACTTAACAATTTTCATGCTGTGATGGTTTAATTTCGTTCGCTTTCTTTGACTATACAATTAATTATATAATTATAATAGTTTGAATATAATAGATTTTATGACTGCACAACTTGGACTCTATCTGGATTTTGTAGGTTTGTCATGAGATTTGGGAATTTTTCCAGGTTTCCGTTAGCCAGACTGGGCCCACTTCGACCGGGGGTAAGGTTGCAAAAAGGAAGGTTGATTGATGTCCCGTGATTCCCTCCTTTACCAGCCACCACTCACCACGATCTGTTTGTAACCTCGCGCTCCAGGAAAGCGAAACCGGCGTCTTTCCCTCCTATTATAATATTTAAATATTTAAATCAATCTGGATGAAGAGGAGAGTAAAATGATAGCTGCCTCCGAGCCTCAGGTGAATATAAAATATCATATCATCTATTTGATAGTATACCTATTGTTTGATTCAATATAGACTAAAGGATTGGTATCACTCAAAAATGTTTGTTATTCTCTCATAAAAAAGTGAACTTCACAACTTTCCTTCATGTTATATTTTAACATGACTTTTTTATTATGATTGATGGCTAAATTAAATGATTTACGAACAAACGTGTTTTTTAAACAATTAAGAATTAAATTGATGGTGGAACTGAAGTTGCGCTGCTCAATTGTTGGATGTGGTATTGCAGATTGAAGTACGGAGACAGTATAGTTGCATTGTTTTCTGTTGGGGTCTGCAGGGTGGTGAATCTATAATTTGGTTTTTCCTGTCATTTTAGGTCTGCCTATTATAGTTTTAATCCCCGACACATTTTTTCTTGTGCCAACCCTAATAATGGGTCTGTTTGACCAAATAACAGCCACAAGATCCTGCAGATCCCAGGATGACATCTGACAATGAAGGTCGGGTAGTTTGAGTATATTCTTTATTTCTAATGCTTTATGGCCTTATGAACTTGTGTATTAGCCAGAGTATGAGTCTGTTGATTATTTCATCATATATAGTTGACTTAATTTGCTCTACAAATGTTTCTTATTTAACAGGAGTTTGTCCCTTTTGGGAGGCAGCAGATGAAACACCACCCAGGGGTGGTTGCTATTTCTAACATACTCAAAAGAGGTCACAATGAGGCATATCTAGCTCAAAGGTTCAGCCAGGTTAATTTGGATGACAACACACAAGTAATTTTCCAATGCAATCTTTAACCTTTTCCGAATAATTAAGTTTCATCTTTCAATCAGGAATGGTGGACGTTAAGAAATGGATATCATAACGGTTCAAATTCTTGTGAGACAAACACAGAGGGGATCGCAATCGAGGAGGAGCTGTACTTGAGTGGGAGGACTGTCATCGTCAGCCGTGGGAGCGTTGGAAGGTCAGTTTCAACCGGCAAAGCCAGCAAAAATGGCGGACGAATTCTTAAAGTCTGCTACTCAATGGAGTGTCCAGTTCATCAAGCACTTTGGTGCCAGTTTCCAGACACTCTAGGTACAAATTGTAAAATTTGGAATTTTCTCTCATTTTGTTAAGCATTTTTGGGTTTGCAGATAAAGATAAACCAAAACTGTGCATTTTGGACAGTGATAAAATTAGTGTTTATTGTGATGGGGGTTCAGACTATACAACTCCTTTGCAGTTCAAGGTATGTTTAATTATATATATTTAAAAAAAAGTTTAAATAAACAAAACACAAATCTTTTTAAGGTCACAAATGCTTGGGCTACCAAATTCGGCCTCCTTATTGAAAGGGTGGTGCATTACCATTTAGACAGAAGTACTTTAGAATCATGTGGTTGTGAAGGACTAACTACGTTATTCTCCCTCCTGCATCCACTTGATGAAATATCTCCAGTATTATCTGTAAAACAAGGTTAATATTGCATTAATTTATTACAATTGTATAATTAAGAATTTTTTTGTAAACATTTTAGGTGGTGTCTTGAGTTATATGAACGATCCGTTTCTCAAAATTGTATTTACAAGCGAAGAACCTTCTCTTTGCCTCATACACAATATTAGAACTGGAACCCACAGTATTTGGAAAATTAGAAAAGCATTGGCAGAAGTAAGTATTTTCATAATTTATTTGTTTTGTACAAAATTATTTAAATTAATTGACTTGAATAAATCAAATAAGTAAGTGGTGCATTGTATAACAAGACATGACTTAATTTATTCATTAAATTATTATATTCATCAAAAATTAGCTTTCACTGTTTTGTTGTTTATAGGAATGCCAATGGATGTGTGGACAAGAATCAGGTATGACTGTGAATACGACAGCAACCAATATGAGTGGAAGCAATTTAAGCACTGGCAGTGTTCACTTGAACGTCTCAATGCGTGCTGTATCACTCAACAGGTAATATTAACCACTATTACTATATTATTAATCTGTAGTTTTTTTAAACATATACATACATGTATAATTAGGTCAGTGTTGATGGGAAGTGGTGCTGGAAGCCCTTTGTTCGGGAGATCAAACACTAGTCAGGCTCTTATGCATTCGCTCAGTCCTCACAGCCCTCATCATTAGTAAATATCTAGTTCAGATATGCACTTGATTACATTATCTTTTACTGTATATTATTATTATAGTTCTGTGCATTCACCTTTAACAAATTATTCTCCAAAGACTTATGGAAATTTTGTCAAGGAATCGTTTACAAGTAGCGCTTCTTCTGTTGAAGCTCGGCTCGGTGGAAGCATAGCCCCTCAAATTGCCGAGCCAAAGCCAATAGTGCCCGAACTGTGCTTGGAATATGTTTGGACAGAAACTTCAACTCCCAGGTGATTTTACATTGCATTCTTAACTACTGATGTTTTGTTTTCCCTGTTAATGTTCATTATCGATTAAATTTTTTTATGTTTTAGAAGTTACAGAGATCAAAGTAGTATGGCCTCCAAATCGTTTCTGTCTAAAGATACTCTAGGCCAGGAATATCTGTGTTATTTAGTCAACTCCAGCCTCGTTCTTGTAAGGTTGAATAGAACAAATAATACAAGGATGCCAGAATTGATTGTAGGCTCTGTTAGCTCTATTCCAGCTAAGGATGCAGTCCCTATACCCGTATGGTTATACTCAATAGTATACATTATCACCATTATACTAATAATCATCATACTTACAGGCATTGCAGATGATTGCAATATTAGAGGCTGGTGGTTGTGTGATGCTTTATACTGGTTGCACGACGATCGGCAAATTACACATCGCAGGAATTTCTGCTGAGCTAGCCAGTGTTTCTTATTTGACCAACATATCTCTGGTTACTACTATTAACTCTCCTTTCCCAAAAGGGATTGAACCAAGGTATGATATATTGGGGGTATATTTTATATATATTTCACTTTAACATGGAATGATTTATTTCTAGAAACAACTTATTATCTTCAACTAGAATCGGTGAAGGTACTTTTGATGAGCGAGTGTACCTTCTCTCGCCTGTCACATCATCATTTAACGAAAGTCAGACAAATTCAAGTCCGGGCGACATGCAGCAACCAACAGGGTCAAGGGAAGCGATACAGAGTCTGAGAGATCCTGTTGGAACAAGATTTACAATTGTACGTTAAAATTCTTGCATATTTTTATTCAATTTGTCTATTTATTTATTTTTTAAATTTATTTTAAAGGAATACTCCAATGGGTCTATGTTTAGATTTGCACTGCCTGAATTTGCCTCATCGCCCCTTGGTAAATTTTAAATGTATTTTTCCCAGTATTTTTAATTATTAACCATTTTTTCTTAGTAAGGGAGTGTATTAAAGTTTTGAAGTGCATTTTACAAAAAGACATCGCATTGCTTACAATAGCTAAATGGTACACTACTAGGAATGCTCCAGGAACTCAGGACATATCGCCAAAACAAGAATGGCACTTGTTTATTTCATGTTTACTTGGTTGGTATGTAAATTATTGATCAAATAAGTTTTATTAATTTTATCATATTTTTAAGATCTCCTTGGGTACCAGTTGGAATTCTTGCCTCTTGTAAGTTATTACCTTCATTCTGATTGTGATACGCCAGCAAAAAACACTAAAAAAATGAGGGCTTCTGATCTCGGCTCAAATGATGTAATTACATTTTTAAGCATAATCAAACTATTATAATTCTTTTAGCTTTGGATTTTTAAAATTCGTGATATGTAGGACTGGTCGTATCTAATTAGTTCAGCTTATCATGACATGATGTGCCAGGACTTTGGCCTGTCGTTAGGCTTGCACGAGCAGTCGCCAAACTGCCACGGCTATGAACAAAATGCATCACAAGAAGGACATTCAGAAATTAACACTTCTGCACTTTTGTATCCGTACTTTCACTTGATTGTTTTCAGTTTTCATCTCCTCTATGAGGTATTGATTTTTAATTTGCCCTATATTTTCTCCCTCTTAGTGTGACATCTTTTCAAATTTTTGTTTCTTTAGGAAATAAAACTGAAACCAATTTTATACGAGTGCTTGCCGCTCCTGACACGTCTTCTACATCAGCTGTGTAGCGACTTAAGACTTCATGAATATTGTTCTTATTATTGGAGAGATTTCCCGAATGAATGTACATTGACCAATATTCAGGTAAAATTGTTTAACTTAGCTTAAATTTTATATTGTTAATGTGTTTTATAAAATAAAATTAAGTTTAATTGTGACACTTTTTAAATATCATTTTAGGATAGTCAAATAAGTGATGAAGAAGTTGCTAAATTTCAATGGCCTTCCTTTATGTCGAAACAACCTTGCAGTATTTTTGAACAAATTTACGGATTGGTGACAAAGGAAATTAACATTCCTCCTTATCTTTACATTACAGGCGTTAACACTCTCAGTAGAAATATATTAGAGGTATGGCAAATTTTATAATTATTGCTATTCAAAAAATTTTGGCATTAATGTCAAAGTGTATTTATTGGAGAAAAGAAACAAGTTCAAAAAGTGGGTTGTATTAACTCACATTTTATGATTATAAAAAAATATAGAACAAAGTAAATACTTGTAATTGTTATAATTTTTATTTTTTGTTGTTTACTGGATATTTTTAAAGAAAAATACAGGATAGGTAAATAATTAAATAAAAATTAAACTAGTAAAACAGTTTTACAAAAACAATTCAATTAAGTATGGAGTATTTCCTTCTCTTCCATTTGATGAGGCATCAATTTTATGAGGTTTTGAATGTAATGTTGTAGAATGTTTCCATACTCCTCCAACAGTCAATCTTAATTCCTGCAAATTCTCTAGCATCACTGGGCAACTTTTAACTCTCTTTGGCAACTCGTCCCAAAGGTGTTTGATAAGGTGTAAGTCGGAACTACATTCTGGCCACTAAACATCGAATTGAAGCTCATTCCAAGTAGTGACCAACGAACCTAGCTTTGTAGGGACTTGCATTGTCATGCATAAAAATAAAACCATCACCAATTAGTCGCATGTAAGGAACAAGTGATAACACGTCTTCAATGCATCACACAGCTGTCAGGGTTTGCTCGATGAAGATCAAGTTTTTGTGACCTTCCATACGAACGCCTGTCCAAACCGTAACCACCACCTCCATAACTTCTCCTGAGAGAAAATGTTATGGGGATATATATATATATATATATATATATATATATATATATATATATATATNACCACTTTGAACACAAACACAATTTTGACTTCAAAAATCCAAAAATATTACATACAGAACAAAACAAATATAAACGTAATTTCTTAGAAATGGTTTATATCAACAGAGATAAACACAGCATCAATTACAGAACAGATAGATGTAAACTCAGTCGCAGCTACGCCAATATCATTAATCAAATTCAATATAGATAACATACATTCACAATACATTCTACACATCAAATATTTTTCACATAGTCTAATTGTCCAACAATTTATCTTTCCTTTTCCTATTTATCCCTTTCTATATAATCCTGAAAGGATAATCTGGCCGAACCATTACCAACACTTTTTTTCCCTTCGTAGGCTCTTTTCACCTCAAAGAAGCTGACGCCTTATACAAAAATATCTTTTCTATACCGACTTCGTTCCCCACCCCTTTAAAATCCAACATATATAAACATAAAACAGCAATATCTCACTGGCACTCTCAACACGACACGCAAGAATGGCACAATTACACAGAAGACAAACACTTTGAGTGAGTAAAAATACTTTGATTGAATATAATAAAAAAATATATTTTGCATTGTATAAATTCACTTTTTCACTTCCTAAATGTATTTGTTAAATGTAAACAATGTTTGTAAATCCCAGGCCCTGAGGATGATCTCAATAAAGATCAAAATGTTGGCACGATAAAGAAAATGTTTTTCTGAAACCTACATCACACCATTTCATCATTGCATCTCATGATCTCTGACTAATTATCGATTAACGATCACTAATCACCACACACTTAACCAAGCTGTTATGTGCGTTGTAGAAGCAGGTGAAAGTTAAATTCACAAAAATTACTTTCAAGAAGGCTTACATCACTGAAAAAACAAAGCAAACTAAAATTACTGGTTTTTTTTATTATTATTGTTAATAAATGATTTTATAAATTTGCAAAAATATACCAGATACATTTATGTACATTGTACTTTGTTTCTGTTAAAAAAAGTTTATTTAAATGTTTAAACATCGTGAGATTTCTTTGTTTCTCTATTTCTGCAGAGTGATGAACCTGTAATTGGTCGGTATTATCTTATCTTCAGTCAGGTTGGATGGAGATGCGAAAGTCCAAAACACGACTGACAGACCTACCCAATGAGGATAGGCAGACAGAAACGATCAGTAATGATCAAAGTATACATTAGCTTATACTAATATGTATCTCAATCTGCCTATCTTCAAACTGTTTTGAATTATCACATGTGTTCAACATTTCACCATTTTATTATTTACTATTATTCTAAGTATTAAGGTTTGTGTTATACTTATCACAAAATAAATAAATTGTGTCAAGTTTCAAGTTTGTTAAATTTAATAATCTTCCAATGAAGGTGGTAGAATACTGACCAAAATATAGTAGAATTACAATTTATTTTTATTAGATTCTAGGCATGTTGATGAATTCTCAAAAAGAAAATTTGAGAAATGTAGTCCCTCCTGGTAGTCGAAGTACAACTCCTCATATGTCCATGTCTCTAGATCCGATGGCATTAGTGCCATCTTCAGAGCACAAAGCAGTTCTTCTCATGAATAAACTAGGTATATTAAAACGTTTATTTCTTAAATTTAAATTTTTTTTATTTAATAAATTTCTTTGAAGGAATGAATCGCCAGGATTTGTTGAACCTCCCATGTGGTATTGGCTTGATATTGGGCTGTGCGGTACAGAATGTAACTGAATCAGGCGTGCAAGGTTGGCCTCTCGGCGCGTGCCGTTTGATTTCCAGGCTTGACTTGGTACCTGGTGAAAACAATGAGGAACTTTCCCAACACCACCCCAATCCAGAAGAGGTGGATTAAATTGTTTTTATTGGTGGAGGTTCAATTTCACCTATAAACTTTTGATTTATTACAGATATTAACTTTAAGGTTCAATAAGGATCAGAGGGTAGAAGAAGCGAGGAGATTGCTAAATTCATCTGAACCGGTTACAATCAATGTTACTCAAAGGTCAGACGTCACTGACATTGAATTTGTTGAAGAACAAGAGAGATGTTTGTATGCAATATGTACACGAACGATGGCACTTCCTGTTGGCAGGTTAAAAAAAAATCATTTAGTATTTACTTAATGTTGGCAATTTATGATTGGTTACGTATTTAGGAATACATAAAAGTTAACTGTTTTAGAGGCATGATGGACTTGCACACAACAGTTCCTGTTGTAATTACTGAGCAGTTGAATATACCAAAGCTTTGTTTAGTTGGAAAAGCACCTCCAAGAGGAACTACAGTAGAACTGAATCATATTGAAGTAAGTTATAATAATTTCCATGATTTATGAAGGTCCAAAATTCAAATGGCATTTTACAAAGAAACGTTCTTCATTTCACCAGTTCAACCAACTTTACTGAACAGTGGGTGGGATATTTATTGGGTCTAGAATATTACACAAATTGTTTGAGGCACCCTGTGACCTCAGATCTCTTATTTTGTATAAGATTTCACCCCATTCTATAAAATTCCATCTTGTAAAGTGCTTAAAACAATTTTTTAAAACGTCCTCTGTCTGTTAAGTCATGAGATTCTTTCACAACATGGGTGTCCAAAGATTTTTGTTAATGGCTCTTCAAAACAAATTTGGCGATTGTGATTGCATGTTTTCAAATCTGCACTTGTTTTTTTTACTTTGAGCCGGATTTATAAAATGTTTTCTATCACCTTTAAATTCATTCCTGTACTATCTGATGTACGCCAGTCTATTCTTTTCTTATTAAAATTATGAATTATTTATACATAAATTTTTAATTTGTTGGTAACATTTAGTGTTTAGTTAATACATATTTGATACTGATTTGGGTCCTTTATCTAATTTAATAACTTTAAACTGGCTTTTAAGTGAATTTTTGAACTTTTTGTTTAGGTTGTTCCAAATATGAATCTTTGGCCCTTGTTTCACAATGGTGTAGCCGCAGGTTTGAAAATTTCTCCTTTATCCAAGAACATTGATTCAACATGGATACTTTACAATAAGCCGAAGGTAAATTGAAATCAGTCTTATTTCCTCACTATAACTTTATATTTACATTCAAATTTTTTGTCACTTTGTACAATTTAAAGAATGGTATTGATGCTTTACCTGAACACGCCGGCTTTTTAATGGGCCTCGGATTATCCGGACATCTAAACAACTTAATGCATCTTTACTTGTACAATTATTTGAACAAGTGCCACGAAATGACAAGTGTTGGTATTCTATTAGGTCTTGCCGCTTCCAAAAGAGGTAAACTTAAGATTTATTCAATTGATTTTAAATTTTTAAACCTTGTAATTAATTTTTAAGGTACAATGGATGTACGAGTTACAAAACTGTTCAGCCTGCATATAGAATCACTTCTCCCACCGACGTCGATTGAGCTAAATCTTGTACAGAACATTCAGGTCGCAGCACTGCTTGGCATCGGCCTTGTGTACCAAGGGACAGGTCATAGGCACATAGCTGAAGCCCTTCTTTCTGAAATAGGTAATGATATTTTACACAGGGTGTGGTCAGCTTCTGTTAAAAAAAAATATATATTTGACAGTACAATCAGTACATAGAATGCCTGCATTAAAATGCCGCAAACCTCATAGTTTTAATTCATTCAAAATTTACAATTTATTTATTTATTGTAGTGTTAAGAAAAACATTCCTTTACATAAAACCTGAATTTTCTCCCTCTAATGTAACTTTTCCCAACTTTTGACCCTATCAGATTTAACACCAAATTTCCTTTTAGATTAGTCCATTTTTGTTGAGAAAATTGCCAGTCACGTAGAAAATAACTGCTAAAATTTCATGAAATTTGTGAAATTTGGATCACCTTCTTTAACCTTCATGCAGGCGCTCAGGCTGTAGTCTACGCACACATCATAAAAACATTAGGAACTTTGTTCTACGATTTTGCAAAGTGCCATGAGGGGATTGTATTCTCAGCTTTTCTATTATCAATATATGAAACTAAATTGAGAAGTGATCATCTTCCAGATTGGCGAGTTGTGCCTGTCATCAGACAACATTTGTAGTCAGTAGTTTACTGCTTTGCATCTGTTAAAGTTTCATTTCTCCATCAACCATATAATTAATCAATTTAGAATTTTTTTGTAGGTTTATTGTATGTACTACATTAGCGATAATATATTAACATTTTCCAGTGCACTACACTGTTTATCATTATGTAAAGACTCATAAGTATGTACTATTATCAAATTTTTGTTATAGTTAAAATTGTTTTGTTCTTGTCATTATAGTTTTATATCTTTCTCTTATAGTCATTATGTGTTAATCATAAAATAATAATATTATAAGTAAAGAGTAATTGTAAGTTAATTTCAATGAACAATGTCTTTCACGGGTTTCATTTTTTATATAAGTTTTTTTTTTGTGCACTACATTTACTTGAAAGGACTGATCTCTGTTGATCTCGTGTTGCTTGTGATTAATTATTTTATCAATTGTCATTTTGATTAATTTTTTCAATGTTTAAACATGTTGTTTGAGCTTCTATCAAAAGTACACCTATTTCAAAGGATTGGGATGAAATATTGGATGAAAACACGAAAACGAGTTGGCGGTAGACCACCGCCTTGCTCCCATGGGTGACAAAAAAAAGTCATGTCCGCATGAAGGTTAAACCATAGCTCCGTGACATTAAATTTAAAAAATATAAATAAAATAAAAAGGCTAAAAACTTTACCATTTTAAGAGCTTTCTAACGATCTATTCGGACAATTCGAACAACAGCTACAGCTAGGCCAATTCAGCACCCAACAGATGCAGTTCCAAACCCATTCCTACTCATGCTCATTCTCAAATACATTCACTCTTATTTTACATACCATTAGGGTGGTGGAGTACTCGATATTCCTCCATTACCCTTTACACATACTACCCCAACTTAACTTATTGTGGGTCGATGGGGTACTTGATATTTCGCCATTGACCCTCTCACATTACACCTTAATGCAATAAGTTCATTCACTCTTAACACAAGCTAGGTATACACAACTATTATTACTACAATAGAATGACGTACATTTCCTCCAAGAATAGGATGGCCTATTTTTAATTGGGTGAAGGTGACTTCTTCTGCGAATTAGATCCTCTTTAGGGCCACCCGTCAACAGTGTTCTTGATACATGATAGATTCTCAGTTGGCCTGGCCCATTGACGCCATCTTTTTTTAATCATGTTTTTTAATGCATTTCTAGTGTCAGGGAAACAAACTATTCTTCGGAATAAAAATTAGCATCAACTCTTGGGCCATGTATTTAATTCCTAGAATACATCCTGGACCACGTTTTCCCAACTTCCAGGTGAAATTACCCTTCAAAAATAAAAATAATCAAGGTTTCAAATAGACCGTCGAAAAACTCATAAAGTGTTGTGTTGTAGCTGATTCTACATTTTTTTAAAATGTTGCAAATTTCATGATATTCTACAGTTATTTTGGAAGTAGTCTGGCAATTTTTAGAACAAAAATGGATTAATCTAAAAGGAAATTTGGTACTAAATCTAATGGGGTCAAAGTTGGGAAAAGTTAGATTAGAGTAGAGAAAATTCAGGTTTTATGTTAAGTAATGAGTTTTTCTTAAAAAAAGCATTTTTTAAAAATTGTGCTTTTTGAACAAATTGAGATAAAACCATGAGGTTTATGGCATTATACTCCACTTTAGAGGTAGTCACTGAAAAGGGAAAAAAATAAAAATACAAGCTGACCCCCTGTATATTAATAAGTTTTAGATTATATTAATTATACATTTTTTTTAGGTCGACCACCGGGACCAGAAATGGAAAACAGTTGTGATCGAGAATGTTACTCGTTGGCAGCTGGCTTGGGCTTAGGTCTTGTCGTTTTGGGCAAAGGCGCTGATCCCACCACACTCGCAGATCTCGATTTAGCTGATACCCTTCAATATTATATGATTGGAGGTCATAGGAGACCTTTGACCGGTACTTCTTAAATCATTATAAAATTGAAAAACGCTGTTACTCCAAAAATACTGTTTGTAGGGTCACAAAAGGAAAAGTACAAATCGCCGAGTTACCAAATTAGAGAAGGTGATTGTGTTAATAATCATGTCACAGGCCCAGGAGCAACTCTTGCACTTGCTATGATGTACTTCAATACTGGCAACATGTCAGTATTCACAATGATTTCATCATCAATTTATAACTTAGTCTTAAACAATTCATTTCAAACTTATTCAGTTTCTTTGATTAAAATGAACAGTTAGTAACTATTGACAACAGTTTGTCTTTTTTTTTAATTTTAAATTTTTTGTACATACTTTTATTTAAAGTATGTGGAACGTTTCACAATTTTGCATGTTATCTGTCAAAAGGATGTGAAAAACAAATGGAATATCTTTTTTAGAAGAATAATTTTTGTTTTATTAGTGCTATAGCAAATTGGTTGGAGGCACCTGATTCAGAGTACATGTTGGACTTTATATGCCCGGACCAACTTTTACTGAGGACATTGGCCAAAGGGCTTGTGATGTGGGACCAAATCATTCCGACGGTTTCTTGGGTCGAAGCACATATTCCTGCCTCGATACGACCTTACTGCCTCGTCAAACCTAGGGAAGGCCTTGAAGATGTGGACTTAGAGACGATGTCGTAAGTGGTTACCTGGACTTAATTTTAAATTTGAAATGTACAATTTTCTAATTTCAGACAAGCTTACTGCCATATAATAGCTGGAGCGTGTATGGCATTGGGGCTGAGGTTTGCGGGTTCAGCTAATAACAGAGCATTTGAAACTCTTTTGCATTACTGCAAGCTTTTCACATCCCTTTCGTCAAAGTCAATAGCAGAATTGGCCGGGAAATCAACTATAGAGACGTGCATTTGTGTCACCCTCTTGTCGCTCTCTGTCGTAAGGATATTTTACCAATGAAATGCCAACTTTTTTTGTAATAATTTCACTATTGTAGGTAATGGCCGGAACAGGAGATTTAGAAGTATTGAGGCTGTGTCGGCATCTTGGCTCAAGAGTTGGACAAGTCACAAACTCCGTTGTTACTTATGGATCTCATTTAGCTGTGCATATGGCGCTCGGTTTGCTTTTCCTTGGTGGAGGTAGTCTCGGACTCTCAACAAGGCCGGAATCAGTGGCTGCTATGATTTGTGCCTTTTTCCCCCGTTTTCCCACCCATTCTAATGATAACAGGTATGCACTATATTGGTGATATTTTTTGTCCTATACATAATTAACATATTTTGCCCTGGTTAGATACCACCTTCAAGCCTTTAGACATCTTTACGTTCTTGCTGTCGAGCCTAGACTTTTCTTACCTAAAGACATTGATCATGGATCATTATCTTATGTAAACTTGAAAGTCGTTTATCTAGACACACCTTACTATAAAAATCAAAGCATTAAATTATTTGCACCTTGTTTACTTCCAGAGCTTCACTTGCTTAAAGAGGTAATTTTCCAAATAATATTCTTCTACCAGAATTGTTAAATAATTATGATTTTTTTTCTTAAGGTTAAAATTGAAGATGAAAGATATTGGTCAATTGTGTTTACAAAAGGGAAAAATTGGACTCAGTTAGAGTAAGTTGATAAAATTAAAATTAATTCAAAATACATTCATAAACAAAAAAAAATTGAATATTTAGAGAAATAATTAATCCTAACCTTAACATTGAATATTTTGTAGGTGAACACTGAACAAGTGCTGACAAGAATTTAAAACACATTAATTGAAATTTACAATTTTTTTTATTTCATTCAATTAATTATAATTATTATGATGTAATGTTTAATTTCAGGGAAACATTAAAAAAAGGTGGCACGATAGGGATCAAATTGAGAGCTGGATGCCTTCCTTATGCGGACGATCCACACGGATATAAGACATTACTCGCTCAGACCATTTCCACAGACACTGCTTCATCGTGGACAACTTCTGTAAATTAAACTAACAATATTTATTTAACATTTAAAAAAAAAATCTTATTGGTTTATTTCAGGCTGAAGCTATTCAGGCTTTTGTCCTAGACAAAACTTGTAATTTTCCAAAACACTTTCTGGAAACTAGTGAAAACGACAGCAAGATCACAAATCGTGAACTTAAGTTAATACAATGGATGTCAAATATATGTTACGAGTGTGTGACAAAAAATAAACTCCCTTTGCTCGATTACTGGATCAATTTGCTAACTGTATAAACTTTTTTCTATTTTATTTTAATAATGGTAAATTTAATTAATTCTTGATATTTTTTCAGGAGGTAATGCGACTAAAATATTTACCGTCTTCTATCATATCATGGCAGATTCGTTTAGCAATTGCACACGGCATAAAACTGCCACAATCGCATTTACAGGCTGATCATATTATGGCTATCAATCAATATATTAAGGCTATGTTCAAGGAATGGCAACTGAGTAAGTTTAATATTTTTCATTAATAGTTAAATTATGAAGAAATTTGAATGAAATATTAATTATTTGAATTAATTATACTTTTAATCTAAGGTCTTGGTTGAGGCAACAAAGCAAGTTTGGGATTCAAATCCCACATCATCTAAAAATGAAAGTAATTAATTAAAATAATTAATACAGTCAATTATGACTACTAAAAACATATATGGATTAATAAATAATTACAGAAGTACTTACTTTCCTAACAGCTCCTGTGCACTTCATAAGTCACTGAGAATCGAATCCTGATTACACGATAATTGAAAATATGGTAGAAAGAGGAAAAAATTCGAGTGGATTGAAGCCACGATAGCTCAAGTAGTTAGAGCTGTGGTGTATTTGAGCCAAAGGTCGTGGGTTCGAATCCCGCTCATGCTTTTTCATCTCAACCAAGACCTTAGTTAAAAAGTATAATTAATTAAAATTATTATTATTGCACATTGTGTTGTTTTTATTTTGAGCAATGTTTCGGCAACCTTTCTTTCACATTCATGCAAAAACAATTTTATAACTTTTTTTGTGCAATGTTACAATTATTATAATCGTACCTTTTTTTACAATTATTGTTGCTGTTGTTATTGTTTTTTAGCTCATTCCGATATACTTTTGCATTACTTGAAAGGACAAAGGGTCAAAGATAAACGCCAGACTTTACCTATGCTGACATCGTACTTAACTTTTTATGGAATGCCAAATGAAATCGTACTAGAAAAACTTCAAAAAGAAGGTAAGATATGAAAATCTGTATAACAATTCATAGTCATGAATGTTTTTTTTTGTTTTGTTTCTACCACAGGAAAATCTAAATTGTGCAATTTAGTGCAAGCTGCAAGTAAAGAAGGTTGCCGATTGCCTACTTCTGTTCTTAAACTTCTTTGGGACCTATTTAGAATTTGTAATGTGTAAATATTGTACAATTTTTAATATATATTTGTATAAATATATTTTTGTTATTTTGTATTTTTTTTAATGAAATTTATTAAACTTGCCTTCTTGCATTATTCATACATTCATTTCACAAAAGGGTTTGAACATAAAAAAAATATACAAAATTGTCCACAATGGCTTTTTTATAATTGACACTGCTAGAGAAGTATTGCAATGACTGTGAATTGGATTAAGGACAAAGAAACTTTATGGCCTTTCCATGAACTGACAGTCCAAGCTAAGTTTACATAGAGCAATTTTTGTCGGCTCGGATCATTCTATCAATTCAAAGGAGAGCGTACACACGACACCATGGGCTCTTGCTGCACTGTTGTGTCAAAACATGCCTGTTTGACTTATGGTTGTACTGTCGGTGCGCAAGCGACACAGGGGGTGCTTTTGACCATTGAATTCAATGTTTTACAGTGGTGTTCAGACAGTATTTTGTTAAGTATAAGATAAGGTGATTTTATGACTGTTCTTTTTAAATTAAATTTTGTTTACTATACAGGATGGATTAAATAAATAATGAAACCGTCGTACAGTACTCGAAGCCATTAATTTGAGACCTGAGAAATGCTGCGTAATGGAGACGGACAAAAGATGAGAAGGAAATAATAATCTATCTCAACCAAAACCTTACATAAAAAGAATAATTCATTGAAAGAAGTAACTTGGTCAATTGACCACTAAAACAAATGGATTAATAATAATGTTGAAACAGGCATCATTGTTGAGATTCATGTTTGGAATTTATCATTTGAAAGTGCCAAGGAGGGTCAAGACCTAATACATGTTCAACCGACATTCAAATTGAAGATGATCATCACCATTCCAAGTGTGATCATTTTGCTTGGTTGTCAATTATACAAAAACCACTCCAAGCAAACTTACTTTAAAAAATGCATGAAAGAAATGAGAGCCACGAAAGTGGTAAAGGTACACCAGAGAAAATTACTTTCTTTACTTCTTTATTAATTTAGTTGTGCCCTATAATCACCAATTTCAAATACCTATGAGTATTCATTTTATTGTATTTGATTCTTCATGTAAGCAGTACATGAAGAGTAAGTTTTTTATTTATCACATTTATAGTTTGCAGGAAAATTTATCATGCAAAACACCTCAAAGCCTTAAATTCTTAATGTAATATATTATACAGTAAATAAATAAATATCTTTAATTTACTAGTTTTCGTGGTCCGCTTGACCAATTAATTAAGGTTTTTAAATGAGATAAAAAAGTCAGGGTCACAAGCGGGATTCAAACCCATGACTTTCGGCTAGATATGCCGCTACTGTACTACTTGAGCTATCATGACTTCAATCCTCTTGGACACTAACTTCCCATCTCAACCCCATATCTTTAATATATAACTATTTGTATTTTCTGCATACAATAAATATATACATAAATTATTTATGGGAGTATTTATGTATGATAATGACTACAATGCGAAAAATTTGCTATGGAGAAATTAACAATTAGGATACTCCTGTGTAAAAGCATTAGGGCTTATTGAAACTTTAGCAAAGAATTTAATCACCCTTTGCAGAATTACTTCTTTGAGCCACGGAATTATTATAGAGGTCAGAAAATTTTGTTTATAGTGGAGATGAGGTAGCAAGCCTTACAAATTTATTTTGAATACCCAGTAGCTTTTTAAAGTGTGTTGACTTGTATAGCTCCAAGATGGGCATGTATAGAGGATTGGTCTGACAATGGCTTCATAGAGCGAGATTTTATTACTTACACTTATTCATTATGAAGAGATTTACACATAATTTTGATTCCCTAGTGTAAAATGGCAAGAGTTCTTATCACTAGTTTACCTTTACTTATTAGTTTGTTAACATGCGCTGTAAAAGTAAGTTTGGTGTCTTGCACAGTACCAAGATATTTCACTTTATTAGCCCATGTTGGTTTCTCCATGTTTACCTATTTACTGAGGTGTGTTTTATTTTGTAAAAAGGTTAGCGTCAGTTTTTTGTTACATTTATTCTTAATTTCTGCCTATTCGAGAAAAATTCATTTTTTTGAGGTTAATTGCTACTATACTATAGACTATGCTTAGTCTCCAGGATCGTAATGCATTGTCACCAACAAAAAGGGCCAATTATTACATTTTGTGAGGGGAAAAAATAAAGGTAGGACCTAGGACATACCAGCTGAGGAACACCCATGACAATCTTAAATGAAGACAGAGGTGACTTATTTAAGGATACCCTGAAGGATATACAACCTTTACTAATAAGTGTAGTAAGTGTACACCTAACAACCTCATGGGAAAAAGAAGAAATCCTACTAACAAAAAAAAAAACTAATAACAATATTTTAATAGAAAGACAGAGGACTCAAAATATCACATTATCAAGAATAATAGATAAATGCCAGGTTAGATTTGATGCTTAAGGTTGAACAGACATGCAGTATATGCCAAATGCTGCCGAACATTTTGCAACTCTTGCAATGCTCGTCTTGGCATTCACCAAATAATGTGCTTATGTATACACACATGCAGGGTTTGTAAAATCACTTAATTTTTGCGGAAACAGCGAATATATATTTGCAACATGCCGTACAAGTCCTCAACTTACTACCAATTGTGACAACACTGAAAGTCATTGCTGAAGCTACAGTTACTGTTTTGTGTAGTGGCTACAAACTCAACTCACAGAGTACTGCTGCCCCATCTTACTTTCAATACATTTACAGGCATCAACAATCTTGTACCGATTTTTGTGATTTGGAAGAGAAGCATTCCAAATTATTGGTTCACTCCAATACTGTTATTACGGGCAAATCCTTTCCTAACCAACAGAAACAACACTATGTCTTTCAATAATACATCTATACTAGTTGGGAATTGTTTATTATTGAAAAATAAATAGCTAGTAAATACAATTATATACTTACTATTAATCCATATATGTTTAGCGGTCATAATTGACTATTGATTATTTCAATTAATTATATATTACACTTTATAAAAATGGCAAAAAGAGAGAAAATTCAAAAGGTTGTAAGTTGAGACTAGTGGTTGATGTCCGAGTGGACCAAAGTCGTGAGATAGCTTAAGTGGTTAGAGCAGCGGTGTATTGAGCGTGGGTCAAATCTCCCATTCGTGACAATAACTTTTTCAACTTTAGATAAAAAATATAATTAATTGATATAAAGTTACTGTTTATTGATTACTATAGTTGATTTAAGTACAGTACAGTTGATTCCCGAATGAGTGGATGCTTTGAGTGAAACACGAATATTCACAAATATTTGAGCACTTTGAAGCAGACAAAGAAACCGACACTGCCGAGCAAGGCGAACTTGCTCCACTTGTCAGGATTTGGTGAACTATTGCTTGGCATTCAGCAAATCCCATATGTCTGGAGCCACCTTTACATGAGCAAATGTTAAGCTGAAGAATGGGCAAGACTTTTAAAAAGAAGTTTAATAATTGTAATGGTTAATTTTTCTGTAATACCATCCTTATGCACTAAATAATTAAAAGCAAAAAAATAAAATAAAGTCTAATAAAACTCATAAAAACATTGTTTATTTACACATCAAATTAATTGGCTTTTAAAGATTTTGCAGCCATTTGCAAGGCACCTTCTCGTGTTTGATTACCACCAATAAATCCTGTACTGTGGACAAATATACAACCACTGATTCCGGCAGTGCTCGAGAGCTCTTCATCTCTCAGCCCCCTCCATTGTTCATGCAGAGGTGTCCTCAGTTCGAAACTGGTCTCGTTCTTTGAAACAGCCTGCACCCTCCAAACAGTTTTTTCCTGGAAGAGAACAAATTTGATACTAGGCTCTAAATGCATTTGTTCTTCAAGGGCGAAAAAATGCCCTTTCCACGGACAAAAAGTCTCCAATTCAATGATTTCCCCTGAAGGGTGAATTTCATGGCGTTTCTCCAGGGCGTTCTCTACTATAGTTTTAGCCGGTAGCCATTCCGTAACCGTACGACGGACCTTGTCAATGAATTCTCCCGTGACTAGATCCATCGCTTTGTAAAAGGCTTCAGTCTCATCGAATTTAGATTCAGGCACGATCCAACTCCTGTTAAACCGGGAAACTCTAGAGCTGAGATTAGTCGAGATGAAATAATTCTCTTTGCCGTCACAGATGGGCACGCCGTTGTCTATGGCATCAACTTCCTGGACGAAGCCTTCATACACCTTGTCGAAAACACTTTCTAGATCGTTTTCTTTCATATCTTTGCATATAACTTTGATTATATCTTTGCCGAAGTGGCAATACACGAGACCCGCGCTGCTCAGCTTCATCGTCCATTTCTTACCGGGCAAAAGTGTACTCATGCTGTGGTCGAAAGATTTCTGGTGGTGGTCGAACAGGTACCGGTCGGGGTCGAACTTGCCCCCGACGTCGATGACAATGTCACAGTTGTTCAGCACTTCATCTTTCCTCGACCGCACTATCTCCGCGTCGGGGTACACGATCTTCAACATGGAACAGCCGAGCACTTCGTCACAATGGAAAGTGCCGTCATGTGTGCCGATCGTCTTCAAAACTTTCATCGAGGTTAAAAATCTTTTAAATAACTTGGAAAAAGAAAATCCCGATCGATGCTTTAAAAGATACATAAACAAGAACACATACACACGGTGCCCTTGTGGGGAGGGTAACACGACTGTTTTATTTGACTACCTCTTGGAACTCAAAGTCCAAAAGTTTTGGAAAAATTTAAAATAAACTCTTTTTTTAATAAATATAAAAATTGATGAGTTAAAAGTGAAGTATACATATGTAGATGGTGGTACCGATGATATTTCAATTTATAGCAAGTTAATAAAATCGGGATGTTGTATGAAAAGTTGGTCAGCCTGAGAAACGTGGTCTTGTTAAAACCGGTGATGCGTTGACCCTTTCGCCCCTCCAACGGGTCCAGCTGATTGCTCTGCTTCCTCTCCTAAGATGGATGATTGTGGCCACTACCTCAAAGCAGCCTTTCCACTTATAAACGACGACCTGTACGACTATGTGGAAGGTACTGGCGTTAAAATAACACATTCCTCGACCACCGGTGTGATTTTAATTTCGAAAGCCCGGCTTTCCGACGGTTTACTCCCCTTTATCACACTGGCCCGACGGCCTTCCTACGTCTTTTTAATATTCCCTTGAGAATTTGTAATAGTGAGAGAGGTGTTTCTGTGTGGCAGGTGTTCTTAAAACCGGAGTGGACGATTTCGAAGACAGCGACGAGCTTTACGACGCCGTCGGCGGTGTGCTTCATGAGGTGGCGGATGACAAGACGGAAGACGATATCAGGTAAATCCGTTTTGTCGGGTGTGAAAACGATCCTTTTTTTTTTTTACAGAAAATCGGGCTTACGACCAAGTACCACAACTGGCACTATTCTAACACGACGTTCCGTTCCGATGAACATTAGTACTGCCGTGCCGGACATAGAAAATTTGACTAGAACTCGACCTCTGACCTTTCTCAATTAATGACACTAGTTTGTTTTTGTTGTACATTCGCCGGTCGATTAATTAACTGAACAAGCATTCAAAATACCAATATTATCTTCTCTATATGTAGGAAAGTATAAGGGGCCCCATACACGTTCCCGCCGGCCTGTCAGTTATGCTTGAATAACAGGATATAAGCGGACGGAACATGTTTATCATCTATCTGGCAGGCCTGTAGCGAGCACAGGCAAATTGGAATGTAAATGAGGAGACTGACAGGCATCAGCCACCTTTCAATCATTTTCTGATGCCTGTGCTGTAAAGTTAAAATTATTAACTTAAATTCATATTAAGTGAATTAAGTACATTATTCTATTAAATACATGAGTTGGATTGGCAGAGAAGCGCTGTTGATGTGTGGCCCTCATCGTGTGTAAGAAGTCATCTTCACATGATTAATTATGTCATTGTAAAGTTGACACACAGACTTACTTTGGGCCAAAACCCGCATATAAGTCAGGCATGCAGAGGTTACTCGATATGCCCCATCTAATTGAAGGATGCAACTCTTTGGCTCCTTTGTATAGAGAGCATGAAGGTATGGCAGGAGAAACAATTATTTAAGTATTCTGGGCAACAGTTATCTGTATACCTTGTTACGGTTCATGGAGGAAACAGGGTTGCTTTATCGCATATTGTAAAGATAGTTTTGTGTCCATTGCATGTATTGAGAGTTAATGCATTTATTGGCATAATTGTGAAGTGTGAGAAGGCTGATGGAATAAGTACCAAATGTGGGGCATGATGGAAGAGTATTGAGAGCTCCACTCTACGCTGACTAAGTGTATGGTATGTAAATGGGTACGAGTGTATTTAAGGATGAGTGAATGTTAAAGTTGTTGACAGCAGCCCAACCTCGGTTAAGTAAGTTTGAACTGACGTGCCAGCCGGAACATGTATGGCCCCTTCAGTTCAACCTGCCACCGGTCATCATAACTGTCAGGCCTGATGGATCATGTATGTGACACTTAAGCCAGAAGGCTGCAGTGCTTGGCATAACCCCCCCTCCCACTTCCTAAACTCATACTATCGTTATCTCTATATGTAGCTGTACGTTGTGAGATTTCTTCCTGTGGTCTGCAGGTTCTAAACCTATTGTTTAATGGTTACCTATAATTCTGGTCTACCTACCCTTGCTGATTTTTATTGGTTCGTCAGACATCCCTAAATATCTGTACACCCTGACAGATGGTATATGGCAGCGTTTCCCAATATGGGGCAATTTTGAAAAAACTCATTTAAATTTTTAATCATTTATGTGCCAATTTGTATTCGTGATTTAGTTGAAAAATCATAAAATCTAGTAGCTTCTGCTTGAAAACAAACTTAAAACTAACATTTCAGTAAATATTAAATAACACCATAGCTGTAATCCCATAAGCTTATATAATTTGTTACCAGTACTGGCTTTTGCATATCAACACCTCTACAGTTTACTCTAAATCTATAAAGCAATGAATTGAAAATAACATACGTATCTTTTTGTATCATAATTTTAATGTTAAATGAAATTTATGAGTCCTAGCCCCAAAAATTTAAGAAACAAACCTATTTAATCCCACAAAACTTAATAATCGAGATAAATGCAACTGATGATTTTCCTACTTTACAAAACATCACAGTATTTCACTTGAAATAATATTAATTAGTACTTTGCTATTGCGGACAAATATAACTGATTTATCAGGTGAAGGAAAGTAAATAGAATAAAATACATTCCGAGAATCGAATTACTTTGTAAAATTATAATTTATACGAGGAAAACTGCATTTTATCTGATATTTTATTAAATTTGGAAATTTCAGCCTAATCTATGGATTTTTCTCTTTTAGAGAAAGTAAGGTTTTATCAGATCTACAAATTTCACTGAAATTTACTATTTTTTACTTTAGCTGGGTATTAATTACTGTCCGGCAACTATTTGTCAATAATGCATATGTTAAAGTGTGAATCTGTGAGCAGTGAGGAATGATTATTCAGAGGTCTTGAGATGCGGTTTGGTGTAACAGGTTTTAAAAAAACATTTTCTTTATCGCGTCAATGTTTTGATCTTTATTGAGATCATCTTCAGGGTTCAAAGTGTTTGTTTTCCGTGTAGATGTTCTCTCAACACGACACACAAGAATGACACATCTACACACTTTGAACACTGAAGATGATCTCAATAAAGATCGAAACGTTGGCACGATAAAGAAAATGTTTTTCTAAAACCTACGTCACACCAGACCGCATCTCTGAATAATCATTGATTAACGGTCATTAAACACCACACATTTCTGCAGGGAAGAACGTTATATAGTAAGCACTTTTTTTTTTTTAACCAGTACTACCAACTTTAGATCTTCAAAGTCAAATTAGAGGTTTTTGTTTGTTCCAATTGGCAATCGATTTGTCAACATTTGATATTTTTGTCTTAGGGAAGTCTGCGAGAGGCTGCTTGCCCTGTTAAGAGGTTCAAAAAATGGAGCTGCCAAAGGTGGATCAAATTGTTCAAATAAAGTACTCAACGCGCCAGTACATTTGGGATCGATGGCTGCTACACTACAGGACAATGTTGGCGACATCAAGTCAATTTGGATGATGCAGAGGGATGACACATTGGTAATTAATTATCATATATAATTGCAATGTGTACATTTTGTAAACTTGCCCTAAATCCACTTTGTAGAAAGTCGACGCAAAAAAATTGGAAAAAGCCGAGCAAAAATTGCAACAGAAACAGGAGAAGAGGGCAGAGACATCAACCAACTCAAAATTAGCGGCTCCGGTCAAATTACAAAGTGCCACAGCTTCTCAAGTAATTTTTGTTTTATAAATGAAATTGAATAAACAAGAAATAGTTTATTGTTTACTATTCTCTTCTAGATCACTAATAAGAAAGAGTCAAAAATGGAAGCTAAAGGGACAAACAGGACTCAAGACATTAGGATAGAAAACTTTGACGTTTCTTTTGGTGATAAGTAAGTCATGCATTTCAATTATTTGCCTGTTCATTGTTTTCCTTCTATTTTATTGTTGTAATAATAATATATACAAACAGGCTGAGGACTCTTTACAATTAGGACGTAATTCAATTTCTTTATTCTTGTAAATTTGCAAAATATGTTTTATTTCAAAAGTTCTTGTTCAAGAACTGGTTTTGCTTACAAATTGTTTCATCTTCTGTATTCATTCGTATTCGTAAAATACTTGTTTTTTTCAATTTCCTGTGATATAAACTAGGTGTCAGGCTACGCGTGTCTTAAACTTTTCCCGGGGAATTTCATATGTTCAGAGTGACAAAAAAGTTGTTATGAACCATGGTCCAGTTCTCAACCCTTTTGCAGATAGTGAACCTCTTTTTTCCCCACTTTTTAAATCTATCAATGGTTTTCATCATAAATGTACTTGTAGCTCCGAACTATTCATTTTTGGAGAAATCTAAAATAAGCTTTGAAAAGTGCACTAAATTTCCTTCAAGAAGACACTCTTCTAGAACTTTCTATCTAATTTTTGGTTAAAAAAAAAATAAATAAATAAAGGCGCAGGTGCCCTTATGCAGAGAAAAGTTGTCGATGTGTCCCTCATAATAGAGGCTTGTCATGCCTTGGCTCCATACAGAGAGCGTGTGGGATGCCACCGGACTTAAGAAGAGTTCTTGAACATAGTATCGAGTTTCAGAGTCCCATGTTCCGCTTTTTAGGGGAATTGGGAATTTTTTATTGTATATATCCTTCAAAATATGTGTTATGTGTTTCTGTGTCTTATATGAGTGAATGTATTTATTGGTGTAAATGAGGAGGGGCTGATGGCGAAGTAGCTTCTCCATCGTCTCTCAGGTTGTGTGTATGACTTGGGCCAATGGTGGAAATTTTATAAAAATACCTCAGTCTAGATTAGATTATTATAGTGAATAGGTAGATGGAGGAATATCGAGTTCTCCATCTACCGAACAGTATGAGTGCGAACAATGTATATAGGGTTGTGTGGTGATTAGTGACCATTAATCGATAATTATTCAGAAATCGTGAGACCGATCTCACGATTTCTGAATAATGTATGAATGTATTTATTGGTATGATTGTGTATCGAGTGTGTAGCGGTATTATGTTAGTGTTTCAGGGCTGAAATGACCAAACTGTCGGATGCCCCTGTCAAAAAAATAATAATAATAAAAAGAAAAAAAATTCAAGAACTGTTAAATTTAAAATTTGTGAAAAAATTTACATTTGCAATCTTGTTGGAAAAATTCATGGCAGAACTTGGCAAATTTCATAGCGATTTCTTTGTTTATTAAGCTTTCTAGCGGTAGGCTCTTTTCTTTAATTACATTGAACCATAATGCAGAAATTTTATGGTAAATAGGGAAAAAGTGGTGACTGTGTAAAAAAAAGGGATTAGGGTTAATATAATAATTCAACTTTTTGTCTTGGCCAAGATCTATTTCCCAACTTTAACTTAATAAAAAGGAAAGAAAAAGGAAAAAAGACCCAATAAACATAATGAACAACTAAAGCAGAAAAATTGGACAAAATGATTACACTAAACACAGACAAAAAAAGTACAATAAAAAGACAAGACAAAAAGGAAAAATTCAATGTAATTTGGTTGTCCGCATGTTTATCGTCTCTATTTTATGTGCTTTGTTTGACATTTACATTGAAACTGCCATATTATTTTTTCTTAAATAGAAGCACCTAACAAACATACGGATTAATATATCATAATATTAATGAAGTTCTTCGCTAACCACTCCCTATGGCCGTTTCGTGTGTCGCTGAGAATCAATATGGTTACACGAAATTTGAGTATATATGCCAAAAAGAGGAAAACTTGAAAAAAATATAAGTTGAGATGATGAGTTTGTGTTCTGGAGTAATCAAAGACATGATAGCTCAAGTGGTTAGAGCGTTGGGGTAAAAAGTCAGAGGTCTCAACTACACTTTACATAAAAATTATAAATTTAAATGGATTCTGCTGAACAGTTACCATTAACAATAATTGAATCAATGATTTCAGGGTGTTACTACAAGCAGCAGATCTGGTTTTAGCATTCAGCAGAAGGTATGGACTCGTTGGTAGAAATGGCCTCGGAAAGACAACTTTACTTAGAATGATATCAAGGTATGTTATTAGTTTGTTTGGTCTTTAGCGTTTATTTATATTTTGTTAGCATTAGCAATTATGTTCATTTGTAAAGAATATATTAATTAGGAATTAGGAAAAGAGATAAGTATAAATAAAGAAATGTTTTTATACAATAAAATGTTAGGATATATACTATGACAAAATAAAGTTAATATACCTTTCATTTAAATAATTAAATAGATAAAAATAAATTATCTTCTGATCTAAACTAACTTTTAAACATTAGAAGGATAAAGTAAAATGTTTCACCTTAGCCGTACTCACTCTGCATAAGTGTCCCCTTTTTTATACATTATTCAGTTTAAAAAAAGTTAGTTGATACAAATTTCTATTTTATTTAAGCAAACATTTCAGTACTTTCCTTTTGTTTATATTTTAGTGGTGCTTTAAGAATCCCTTCACACATTTCCGTTCTGCATGTTGAACAAGAAGTAGTCGGTGATGATAAAACAGCTCTTGAAAGTGTTTTGGAATGTGACATAGCAAGGCAAACACTCCTTGACAGGGAAAAGGAAATAAATGCTTTGTTAAATTCAGGGTAAGTTTTATTCAGTCAATTTACAGTATTGCAGTTACGAAATATTACAAATATTATTTTTTAATTTATTATATTCTTCAATAAAGTATCACCGATGACCATGAATAAAAAAATTATGTACACCTGGACCTGCAAATGTAAAGTCTGGTTTTAAGCCAAACATTCTAACTTCATTCTTTTGAATCTCAAGGTGGCACCAGATGTGTCTCGAGATACTCGTCTTGGCATTTGCCAAATAGTGTGCCTATGTATACACATATGCAAGACTTGTTCAACCGCTTAGTTTTTGTGGAAACAGTGAATGTGTATTTGCCAAGTGCTGTCCACGTCCTCAACTTACTACCAATCGTGATGGCCAACAGTGTAACTGTCATTGCTGCAGCTACAATTACTGTTCTGTGTAGTGGCAACAAACTCAACCCACAGAGTACTGCTGCCCCATATTACTTTCGATCCATTTCCAGGCATCAAAAGTCTCATGCCGATTTTTGTGATTCGGAAGAGAAGTGTTCCAAACTAATGGTTCAGCTTGGTACAAATCGAGGAACTCCAAGACAGTTATGTTGGGCCAATCCATTCCCAACTAACAGAAACAACACGATGTTGTTTTTCATTAATTCATCTATACAGGGTGAATTGCTACTCGTGCTACAAACTTCTCCAGTAGATTCTTCACCCTAAAATGAACAAAAAAGTTCATATTGTCCATGGTCCNAGAATCGGACCATGGACAATATGAACTTTTTTGTTCATTTTAGGGTGAAGAATCTACTGGAGAAGTTTGTAGCACGAGTAGCAATTCACCCTGTATAGTTGGGAATCGTTTATTATTGAAAAATAAATAGCAGTATTTGGTGATTACAGTTGATTTAAGTGCAGTACAGTTGATTCCCAAATGTGTAGATACTTTGAATGCTACTTCATGAATATTTGTGCACTTTGAAGTGGACAAGGAACCATTAGTCGGGATTCGGTGAACTGTTGCTCAGCATTCGGTGAATCCTGCATGTCTGAGCCACCTTTACATGAGCAAATGCTGAAGAATGGTCAATACTTTTAAAAAGAAATTGTATATAATACCTTCCTTTGTAATATACTGAATATTTGAAGACAAAAAATATAAACAAAGGTAAATTCTCATAAAAACATAAATACATTGTTTATTTGTGTCTGGAGTCACCATTACACAGCTTGGTAATCTTATTTGCTTTGAATAATCAAAATCCTAGACAATTTCATAAAACTACATCACTCCGATGACTCACCAAAATATTTGAAATGCCAGTGGTTCAATCTAGAATGGTGAAGAACTATTACAAAAGCATGTCATCTGATGCATGGTTTTAATTGAGGGGTTAGGTGCATCAGTGGCTGCAACGGTTAAGGCTTGGACACAGCACTCATCACTGTAAGTTAAAGGCAGCCCTGCATTCTTACCCGACATACTTACAAATGTGTTGTTCCCCCCCCCAAAAAAAAAAAAAAACCATCACCCTGAGGGTTCATACATCCTCATAGTTGAAATACCTTTGTTTAAAAAAAAAAATCTTGTAATGGGAATCTCCATTTTATGTCAATTTCTATGGGAAACAATGGCCATGAAGAACAAGGGTATATTCTGATTGGTTGAGGAGGAAACAGGGTCCAGAGAGCAAAACAATGTTGGTCGTAATTTTTGTAGTATTACACCAAGAAATTGCCAGCTGTGCTTGGGGTTAGATAGTTAATATTAAATTGGAAATGGACGCCACACTGTTTAATGTGAGAAACGAAAACAGCGCACTGTAAAAGAAAGAAAAAACTATATGTGTCAACCTCTCACATTTAATAATTTCTTCAGGCTAAATAACTATAAGTAACACATTCTAAGTAGTAGTAGACAATATTTACATACTCAAAAAGGCACTTTTACTAAGGAAGGTGAAGTGATTCTGACGGTGTTGAAAATCCCCGCTTCCGTGAAATTGTGGAGCACTTTATCCAAAGTTGGTGGGTTCATGGTCACCTTAGTTTTTTTCTCCACCCGGATCTGGCCAGGCTGTAGAGATAGATATCCACATTGATGCCCACTTGTCTCTACTCACCCTCTGACACTATTCACTCACCTACACTCATCCTAAGCCTATCTTAGGCCATATTAATTGGACACAAATTGACACATCACAAACTTCAGGAGACACTATAATTTAAGAGGCATACCCAGTTAAATAATCTCATTTACATATTTTGTTATGAACCTAACAGTTGTTAATTTGGTTACTTTTAAACAATAAGGTGTGTAAGGGTAGAATTTCATAGCCTCTTTTCCCTCATCCTGGCAGTTACATAATTACATGTGTGTGTGTGTGTGTAAATATTTAACTTGATTATCCCTGTCTGCTTATTCTTGATGGTTTTATATGACCAGTATCTATGTAAAGTAGTTGGTATTGTTGCAGACGAGAATAAACAGACCAGGATATCAAAAATTTAGGGGAAAAAATGTGTTCTTTTTTTCTATTTTCAATGTTCTATATACTTTTCTTAGGTCTACCGATACTCAGTTGACGACAGAACTTTCTGAAATTTATGCTGCTTTAGGAGCAATGGAGGCAGACAAAGCTCCGGCCAGGGCTGGTGTTATCCTTGCAGGTTTAGGATTTACAAACGAAATGCAAGGAAGGGCCACAAAAACATTTAGTGGTGGTTGGAGGATGAGATTAGCCCTTGCGAGGGCACTGTTTTCAAGGTAAGATTACATTTTCCTTTATTAAATTTTGTGTAAATGTACAGAAATCACAAATTTTCTCCTGTCTTTTAGGCCAGATCTTCTTCTACTTGATGAGCCCACAAACATGTTGGACATGAAGGCCATTATATGGCTTGAGAACTATCTTCAATCCTGGCCCACGACACTTTTGGTAGTTTCCCACGACAGGCACTTTTTGGACACCGTACCAACGGACATACTGCATTTACATTCTGCAACGCTTGAATCGTATAAAGGGAACTATTCTAGATTTGAATCGGTTAAAATAGAAAAGCTAAGGAACAGGACGAGGGAGATAGAGGCACAGGAACAGCACAGAGCCCATGTTAAAGAATTTATCGATAGGTTTAGGTACAATGCTAATAGGGCGTCTTCAGTTCAATCAAAAATCAAAATGCTGGAAAAACTGTAAGTTGAAATTGTTTAACATGAAGAAATTTCTTTATTAGCAATAATATTTTGCAGGCCTGAACTTAAACCTATTGAAAAAGAAGTAGAAGTGGTTTTACGATTCCCTGAAGTGGAGCCTCTTTCCCCTCCAATACTTCAACTGCAAGAGCTGTCCTTTGGATATTCTCCTGATAAAATAATACTAAAAAATGTTGAACTGGGTGCAACTTTGGAGTCGAGGATTTGTATCGTAAGCAGTACATAAATTTACATGAATACCTACTTCATTAATGTCAATCTTTGGCTAATCTTAGTGAATAGAAAACTATAGGTTGTTTTTTTTTTCTAATATTGGTTTGTGAGAAGCATTTTGGCATTTATATTTTCAACAGTGGGTTGTATCAGTTTGGGTTTATGTAATACTTGATATTGCTCTCTTACCTTATTTGATAAAGTGTCCAAAGAGATACCTCCATCTCAGAGAGATGATAGTTTTATTGTTTGAAATGTACTCCGTAATTGACATTCCACCATTGTTGAGATCAAGCAACAGCTTCAACAAGTTAGCAATGTCAGTTTACACACTGGCGAAAACTTTCAGAAGCTGATTACGTGCAAGATGGCCTGCTGCTGGTGCAGACAATATCTGACAATACACAAAACAGCTCAGTTAAGTTTCGCAAAGAAATCACATCAATTGGTACAAACAAGATTGGACTAAAATCTTGTTTTCGGATGAGTCATGATTTGGTTTGAGCTCTTTGGAGAAGAACAGTAGAGAGAGATATCCTTGCAACATTTTCACTCTGGAGAAGCTATTGTGGTAGTGATGTTATGATTTGGCAGACATTTCTATGCAGGTTGCACAACTTGATCGAGGGTTCCCAACAGCTGCATTATTCACTGAAAATGTGCTCAAGTTGTTCTGTATATGCTACTAATTGGCGATGGCTTTATTTTTTATGCATGTCAATGCAAGGCCCCACACAGCTAGGATCGTTGGTGACTACTTGAACGAACATCTATTCATTGGCCAGAATGTAGTTCCAATTTTAACTCTTTCGAACACCTTTGGGATGAGTTGTCAAAGGTGGTCAAAAGTTGCCCAGTGATGCAAGAGAATTTGCAGGAATTAAGAATGGCAGTGTTAGAGGAGTATGGACATATTCTATAGCACTACATCAAAACCTCATAAAATCGATGCCACATCAAATGTAGTGGTGATCAATGCAAGAAGAAGAAAAATACTCCGTACTGGGTTGAATATTTCCTTCCGTTGAATTTTTTATTTAAAAATTTTTCTTTAAAAATATCCAGTACACAGCAAAAATAAAACTTAGAATAATTGCAATTATTTACTACTAAAAAAAATGAGGGTGTCCACTTTTTTGCCTCAAAATATTATTTAAAGGTCCTTGTGATTCTTTAAAAAAAAATTGTAAATTGTAGGTCCTAAATAATTATTACCTAACTGAAGTTCGGTTTGAAGAAATGCTTGATATTCCACTGTCGTAAATTAATGTTAAGTAAACAGTGTGTCTTTATCCCTCAATAGATTCAGTTTCACGATTCTTTATACAATGGAAAACAAATAAATACATAGACCTACTGATGGTTGTGAAATGTCAAAACACATATGACAGATTAAAGAAACCAGGTTAAAGAACGGACTTAAATAATCAAAAATTACGAACCTCTCAGTCGATAACTTTACGATTTAAAAGAAACTTTAGAAAACATATTTTAATTGTAGGTTGGTGATAATGGTGCTGGGAAAACAACATTGTTAAAATTAATCCTTGGCTTACTGACACCGACAGCAGGCACGAGAGTGGTACACAGGAACTTAAGGTTTGCGTACTTCAGCCAGCATCATGTGGACCAACTCCAGATGAATTGTTCATCTGTAGAACTACTTCAACAGGCATTTCCAGGTAAAATAAATATAATAAAATTTTGATTTCATAGTAGTAACACAATGTGATTGAAATGAAGGAAAACCGATTGAAGAGTACAGAAGGCAATTGGGTAGTTTCGGTATATCTGGCGACCTGGCCTTGCAGGTTGTCGCATCTTTATCAGGAGGGCAAAAATCTAGGGTAGCTTTCGCCAAGATGTGCATGTCAAATCCAAACTTTCTGATCCTAGACGAACCAACAAATCATCTCGACATTGAAACAATTGAAGCCCTCGGTCACGCTGTTAACAAATACACTGTAAGTTAAAAAAAAAAAAAATGAAGATATTTATCATTGGTGTCATCTAACCTCATTTTAGGGAGGAGTTATTTTGGTATCTCACGATGAACGCCTTATTCGTATGGTGTGTAAGGAATTATGGGTCTGTGGACAAGGGACCGTTAAGAGTTTAGAAGGTGGGTTCGATCAGTACAGAGAGATTGTTGAAAAGGAACTATTGGACCTGGGCAAATAAGGTAATATCCAAACTGTAATATTGTACCAAATACTGATATTAAATTTCTTTCAATTTTAGGGTTGACTATAAGCTCATGACTGACGTGCACAAACTGTCTGATATGTGATTATCATGAGCCAATTTTGTATTTATGTGTAATACATAACTGTATAAAATTATTTGTAATACTTAAAATGTAAAATACATAATACTATATTTGAAATTGTGGTTAGTACTTATGTTTTCAACCCTTAGCGCAACCGGATAACATGGGTGCATTATCAAACATACATTTCTTAAATGCAGTTTATTTAGCAACTCAATCCCTATTATTCGGCACTAATTTTTCAACATTTAAAAGTCTAAATGTATTTAAATAACCTAAGCATACAATACCACAATTCTGTTCTTTAACTCAAATTCTATCCTAGCTACCTCAACACCAATAACACCTTAAGCTCATAGAAGACTGGTGCAAAAGTGGAGGAAAGACTAAATGAAGAAGATTCTATTCAGTGTACGTTCACATTGGAAAAAACAGCCTTGCCCTCTACAAAGAGATACCAACTTACACTCAAATCAAATACCTAGGACAAAAACATAGCAGACTATCATGGATCCCCACACACGAGTTAAAAGAAGACAACACAAGACTTGTACAACTACGAAAACTCCTAGGATCCTCCGATATTAAGAACTCAACTAACCTTATACAAAGAATTACTGCTACTTTTGGAGTGGATCTGTTAGGTTCTGCTAAGCCATTCAACATTCCAGCACATCCAATCCTTTCAATCAAAAGTCCTCAGACCTATCATCAAAGCTCCTTACTACGTCACGAACTTCACTATCCACATCGACCTCAACATTCCTCTTGATCATTTACCAATTCCAAAAGTTTCACACTAACTTCTCGATCCATCCTAATTCTACTGCTTGAGCCCTCTCTACACATTCCCATCCCGGGAACCCATTGTGTTGCCCTAATTGACGATCTTCCTTGTCCCTTAATCCCTCACACTGAGTGCGAGCATTGGTTGGTGGCTTCTCACGTAGTGATGGCATTACTGTTAGTGCTGAGATCGTGTGAAAAGAAAATTGTACTGCAATTACATTTGTAATAGGCACAAATCTGCATAGGCTACAAATAATTTAAAAAATAAATAAATAAATAGCTAGGACTTACCGGTATGATACAATAGTGCCCAAAGGGTGCAAGATAATACACACCCCATCTAGTACTGTACATCTACATTTTCAAATGAAATATTAAGATTTCACAGATTGTATTTTTCTTTTTTTGGCAATTTATTAGTTTTTACTTTTCAGAAAAAGGCATTTTTTCTATTCCACAATGTTTCGGCTATTAACTGGACATTTTCATAGAGAATAAAATTTAATCCTACAAATCAACATAATTTCTAAATTTATTTATTTATTTAAATATTAAATTTTATTTTTTATTTAATTATATATGGGGGTTATTATATGGCCAACAATAATTATTTACAAAAATACCATCAGTTATCATAATATATTTACATCCTATTGAAATGATTAATTAATTATATGTATAATTAATAAAAAAATAAATGGTAACCCAGCATTCCGTCACTTGCTTGCACAAATGACCAAAATTAAATTGAAATAGAAGAAAAACAGATTAAAATAATAAGATACAATCATATAATAATAAATTGGGAGAATTTTGCAAAGAGCAAAAAGCCACTCATCTTGTTTGGTGGCTGACCAAATTTATAGGACTTTCAGGTCCGAAAGCCCACACAGCTCAGCGTTGTCTAGCAGAGAACTTTGTTCTAATGCCAACTCTCTTGTGAATTTAAATTAAATGAATATAAAACATGTAACTTTGTGAAACAATAAAAATGAACTGCTTTAAATGAGAAGCGAGGGTGAGAGAAAAACTGAAGAGAAAATCATTAGAGAAAGACTCGCAGAGCAGCAATACTGAGGAAAAATATGGACAGGGAGAGGATAGAACAATCAGGAATTATCGAGTACAATCAAATGCACTTGGCGTTAACACCCAGCTGGCTTATACATTTTGGTCATTACACCATCTATGTCTGCTTAGCATTGCTGTTTTAATTCTGTCTGAAGTATTTCACTATTTCCCCATTGTCGGTTGTGCTAAATCATAACTCTGAAAGGATAAACTGGCAAGGATGATCACAAATGACAGAACTCAAACAGTCCCCAGGGTCTTTGGAATCCTGGAAAGGATCGAGAATCTCTCTGTGATTGATAATGTACAATGCCTGATGGATTACTTGAGATTCCATCATCACCCTATACACAAACAAGGTGAGTTAGTTACTTTTAACATCTTACATTGATGTTAATAACATGCAGTCACACAAAATGCTAAATACATACAATGGAAGATAAAATAATTGCCAACAATCAGACAGGCAGACCAGGATGATCACAAAATATTCATAAAAATAAGAAGAAAAGTTAAGTACTACTCAAAGTATTGAGATTGAATTGTTCTCATCAGCGCAAGAAATCCTTAAACCTTACATAAATGCTATATCACAGTGGGACAAAAAGGTCAACCATATCAACAGATGTTACACTAACTAATGGGAACTCTGCATAAACCCATCCAATCTGGTGAAATACCTCAAAATTAATTACTATACCTGTATCATAGGTTGTTAACAAGCTTTGTTTGATCTAGACATACCGACAGACACTCATCTCAGACATGACAATCCATACCAATCCTATCAATAGCTCAACTGGGCACTAACTAATAGAAAATAGTTCCATTAAACATATAAAGTTGAATAAAAAAGTCATTTTTAACACAATTGTACCTTTGGTTGGAAATGACTTAACTACAGGTTCTTTGCCCAGTAGACCCCAAGAAGAAAGAAATCTTACAATGATTAATTGCTCTATCAAACAGATGGATCATGCATGTAATATATTGTATTATGTAATGGATATGCATTAGAAAGTACAGCATTGATAAATTAACCATTACAATGTTTAGAGAGACAATTTGGAATGGAATTTCGTTGTGAACAAAATACAAATGTGCTTATGATTTTATTCCTATTAATATCCATTTACAGAAAACAATGGACAAAGTAAAACTTTGTTTTAAATCGCTTGTACAAAATTTACAAATTCAAAGCTAAAATCACATGTCACATTGTACCAAAATAAATTAATGAATAAATAAATATAAACATTTTTTTAACTTGTTATGATTTACTATTCATTTAATAAAAATAGTATCTGCTATTTATTTACAATGTCATTTACAATATATATGTGTGTGTGTGTGTGTTGTGTGTTTGTGTAAAGTTTTGTAAAACAATTTTTTTACAAAAAGAATAAAACTTATTAAAGAATTATGGCATGCTTTTAATTTTTATATTAGTTTTAACCTATATTTTCATAAGAGCACTAACATAAACTGCATAGAAAAACATAAGAAACAAAAATATTTAGCATCCTCTCATCTTGAAAATTAACCCTTCTAAAGCGTTATAGATGACATTATATTTATATGAAGAAAATGGGTTTAAAAAATAAAAATAAAAAAAAATAAAAAAAGTTTGTGTAAATAATAAAAACTATAAGGATTAATTTTTATTTTATTATAACTATTTTGATTTATTTTGATTATGGGATATCTTTAGAAAATGGAAGACATCAAGTACACATAAAAACTATCAGCTGAAAACTTTGTACAAGACAAAAGATTGCTCCCGGGTATCGTGGAAAGCCAGAGAACTTTGATCCTACAAGGGTCGGAAAAAGAGTACCTCCAAAGCCCCAATGAAAACTACCCTCACACATGGCAAATCGAACACCAACGATGGAACCAGCACCACCCGCGTTTTTACAAACGAAAGCGAACGAGCAGAAGAACGAGCCAATTATCAGCGAGTCTATCTTCGGTGTAGACATGAGTGTAACAGAGATCGCACCAAGACTTTGCGGCCAACTATGCAAAAATCGTGGACGTAGCAGCTGAGGTATATGAAGGCTACCGAGCTGACGAGAGGCAACTAGAACGCCTACTCGTTAGAGAAGAGGTATCATACTATGCTACAGCAATGCTTCATCTCAAATTGCTTGAAGTTAAAGCCAAACAAAGCGAAACAGTGCTTAAAAGTGCGGAAAAAGACCTACGCAAAGTGGTAGCAAATGATAACTTTAACATACCGCAACCCATCTTTGCATACTTGTCAGAGATTGGGATATATCACGACAAAATGGGAAAAGAGACGCGCCTTGAGGTGCCCGATCTACCCGTCGAAGTTGCGCAAGGCTTTGGTGGCTACCATCACCACGAGATAAATGAGGACTCACACAACTTATTCGAAGAAGTCTCATCTCTCGGAATCGCCGGAGACATGTTAATGGCAGTAGCATCAGCACAAGCTGAGCCAACTCCAAATTTTCATGTCAGACGCCCGGCAAACACGGACGTGACAGATAACCTAGTGGGAAGATTCTTCCCTATAGGACCAAGACGACCAGAGATAACCCCAAAGGTTAGCTGGCTATGGAATAACAGCTACGGCCTTTCAAGAGTATGTACCAAACACACGGTTCAACCTGCGTTATATCAGGTCTTTATCTGATATAATCGGAAAGATAGACACATACCGATGTGAAAAAGTGTGTTTCCGAAATCTCGGATTAACGGGAGGAGAAACACAAGTCATACAAACAAGACCTAGCGAGCAGAGCGAAACACAGACATGGTGCGAGCAAACTGTACAACCAACATCAGCTGAAAACTTTGTACAAGACTGTTTTGAAAATTGTTTCTATAAATAAATTAAATTTGAAAGGAACAGTTTTAATATTTTATTTTGGCACTTGTTCATTTAGAGAGGAACGCTGGTTTAAAGAAATTCCTTTTTCTTTTTTGTGGCATGCATCGAAATTAAGTTAATAATTAAACATACAACATGGAGCCTATGGACAATTTTTTATAGCTTAAACCATACCTCATTTTGATAAGATGACAAAAAAATGGACATCTCGCAAAACTTAATGGATCAGAATTGTAATTTGACGGTAGCAAAAATAACCCCACTTTCCTACATTATTTATAACTTTTTACAAATTTTTTACCCCACTATTAGAAAATCTAGAAAGTATTTTATGTTCTGTGGTGTCTAAATCAATTTTAAAAACTGAAAAAATAGCAAATTTGATTCTAGGCCCATATTTTAGGTCAACATTTATCATTTACTCAGCTAAAATTAGTATTGAGTAATTTTAAGTCTTTCATTTGTAATTAATCCATTTTGATAAATAAAACAGTCATTTATGAAAAACTCATTTCATAAATGACCTACATAATAATGTATTAATTATTTTATTTTAATATTTTAAATATAATTATTTTGATATTTTTATTGACCGCCTAATAACACTTTATGGAATGAGATACACAACTAAATAATTAAATGTATATGATTAGTTTTGATTTGTTACTAAATTAATGGGGAGGATGAAAATTTACAAGAGAAAAAAATTACACTCATAGACACAGTATTTTATACCAAAAAGAGAGGGGAAAAAATGGATTCTATAAACTAAAAAGAAAAATTTAAAGGGGCAAAATTGAAAAGTACCTTTTAGAATATTTACTAAGTCAGTAACTAATGATTATTGGGGCATTTGTGTTCGAGATATCTTAAAAATTAAAATGTGTTCCATGCCATACTGTAATCCTGATTATTTATCAATATTTATATTATTTATTGTTCATTTAATGTTTTTTTTTAATCTTTGAGCAAACCTTTGTTTTTTCCCCCATAAAAACGGAATCCAACTTTTTTCCAAACTAAATGGTTTACACTGTTATTTATTCATTTTTAGTTCGATTATGTACGTAGGAACTTATTTTTAAGTAACAAAAAAATCAATAAGGAACTTTTAAAAAGTTACACATATGATTATTAAAATATCGGCTGTGTCTGAGTTTATTATTTCTTAAATCCTGAGTTTTAAATTTCATCTGATAAATTTTAAAAAAAGTTATATTAGGCCTTTTTTTATATTGTTGAAAATATATTTTAACATGATTTTCCTCCCAAGCCTGCAATGTGAAAGCAGGAAGGCTTCTTTTATACAGTTTACTAGCCACAATTTAAAGTGGCTCTTTTCTAGTTTAAATCATTATCTATTTTTTATTTAAATTTTATTTTGGACATTAATGACAATTTAAACTAACAGAAAATGCTTAATTTAAAAGGAATAATGTATGGTCCATGATCTGCATGTTCAGTGAATCAATTGTTTTAGGCTTAAATTATTCAAATTTTCACCTTTTATATTTACTGGGAGAGCATGTTTAAAATAACAGCTTCATAAAACATGCCTGGTATTTTTAAAAACTAATTAATGACAGAACAAAGTACTTTCTTTTAAATGTTTAAATCAGTTCGGTATAAAATAAAAATGAAAAAAAATTACTTCAGGATATTTTTTCATTTAAAAACAAAAAGGACAAAAAAAGCTATTCTAATGAGTTGGAATAGCCAAAAATATTGATCACAGATGAGCCATTTTTCTTTGGACTGGATTTGCTTCATTTAAGAAGAGATAAGTCAGTCAATAATTTCCGGCCTTGATGCTGCTTCAAAAAGCTTACTTCAGGCACTACTTACATCGATACCTTGTACGAAAAGCTTGGTCTGGCTCTTCTCGGAAAGTCTAGATAATTCTTCCCGACATATTGACAACTCGGAGCTCTGTTTAAGAGTACCCTGGTTCCGCAGTCGTCAGTCAGAGCGTTGAAAATTGCCTTTGTAGCTTCAATGGGAGAGACAAAATTCTATAATTATTTACTGCTTGTTGTTCTTCACCATGTTGTGTGATGCCCAGTTGAGTGATGTTTTCCATGAATTTCCAAGAGCCTCATCAAATTTTGACCGGAAATGTGCCAAAGCGTCTGCCTCTGACAAATCAAGCACCTAGAAAAAGATTTAGATTATTATGAAGTCAAACATAAAAACATTTAAAATTCTGACCAATGTTTCTCTGAGGTAGTTAAGATCGTTTTCACAACAGAGCTCGGGAAGGCCAGTCGAGATCATCATTGCAAACAGGGAAAGTATTAAGCCTCCATGCCTTCTTAGTATCAGGAATGCCTAAAAAATAATTTAAACAAAAGAAAACTATAAAATACAGCAAGAAAAACTTTGAAATACCATGTTAAATACTTTGAAATGAATAGTACCTGTTCACAATGTTTCTGAAATATCTGGAATTCCATCGCTTCCTTTTTTGTCTGTCCTTTATTAATGACATGAACAAAATCGTGCGTCAAAACGAATGGGACTCTTTCTCTCCTGAAGCCGAATTTTTCTTTAAAGTGGCCCAGGATGTGGCCAAAATCGATGTGGAACAGCTTCAACATTTTTGAATGTTAGCTTATTTTGCACATTCTTACAAAACTGAGAAAAGTTAGAGAATTCTAACCTGACCGGTTCTTTTGACCATAATGTTGTCGGAATGCCTATCAGCGACTCCCAGTACATACGTAGCGACACAATATCCAGCACATGAATAAGTAAATTCTTCTATTGCTTTATTTAAGCTAGCCTTACTTGTATTATGATCTCTTAGCCAAGCTGAAATAAACAAATAATATATTTAATAAATACTTTCACAAATAACTCTTAGAACATTTCGATTCTTTGACAAATATTTAGGGTACATATTTATACTACAAAAATATCAATTCGATACTTTTTGATTTTCAAATTTTTTTGTTTGTTTTTGCTGATTACTGATTTATATAAGCTTAAATCTGCGCATCCATGTACATACAGATTTGAGCCTATCACTTCATACAGTCCACCGTCCTTTTGTAATTTACAATAAATTACTGATATGCCTCAAGACCACCCCGGGTAGTAGCAGTCTGGGGTCACACCATCCGACCGCTGAGGTTGGGCTCTAGGTGTTATTAACAGCTAGGTCATTTCAGCCCCAACGCGATCAGCCCTAAACCCAAATCAATCCACTCTCACTCACTACTCTTAAATACATTTGTATGGTATTTAGTGACTGTTAATTAATGATTATCTAGAGGTCGTGAACCTACATCCCACCAGACCGCATCTCATGATCTCTAAATAATCTTAAATACATTCTTTCTTCGGCCTGTCACAAGAAGTTTTTTGACCAAAGCTTTTAATGAGAGGAAAACGGAGTTGGTGGATTGTTTTTTTGTTGAGAGTAGGACATGATGGATGTGTATTGCCTGGCTGTTTTGAAACTAAGTCAGTGAGATGGACCCCTCCCCCCCAAGTTCGTTTTGAAAGTGTTTTTTTGTGGAAAAACCACCACATTAATGATTTCATCAAAACTGCTATTTGTGTCATAGCCCTTTTTGCATACCATTCACTTAATTAGGATCAACAATTAGCACTATATTCAATAAACAATCCTTTTTTTTTCTTCCAAGAATCCGAACAAGAGCCTCAGATACTGCTGCCATCCACAAGAGCAATTCTCATTTTTCCTACACACTCATTATGAAGCCAAAGAATTGCACCCTACAGATAGGAGGAGCACATCGACCGACCTTTTTGTATGCTGAACACATTACAGGTTTTGCCAAAATTCTATGTGTCAACCCGTCTATCCTTAATTGGGAGAGGATGACCTTTCTTCTAAGAATCAGATCGGGAAATGTCCGTAGCTGAGTGGTTAGACTCTCAGTTAGTAGATATCACGGTCATGGGTTCGATTCTCACCGCTGCCTCTTTACTTTTTTATGCTTACCTAGGCCAGTGGCCTCAATGAAATTTCATCAATCCTGAATTTGGCCCCAACCCCCTTCAAAAATGATGGAAGAACACATTGGGAACTCAATTCACAAATGTCTGCGAGCTCCCAAAAATTAGGCCAGGAATGAGTACAAAAAGCCGTATAGAAATATATTCCAGGGGCTACCTGTCAACAGTACTCTTTATACATGAGTACTCAGCCAATCCAGCCCATTGATGCTACCACATTCTATATTAATCATGGTTTTTATTATATATTAAGCGACAGAGGGCTGGATTGCGGAGGTTAAGACCGGCCTTAGTTACCTCCTCTGCCTTTTTGTTACCTTTCAAACAATCAAATGGTTTCCATAAAACAACTACCATTTCGCTGAGATGCACCAGTTCATAGTATTTTTCCAACAAAAGCACAATGAGAGGATTGACAGAGAACCATCACGGGCCGCTAAATCTGAATATATACATGTAAGTTTATATCTGTCAATAATAATCAACCATAGCCCATCATAAACATTATAATTTCTCATATTTGTATATTTTCCTAACGCATATGGCTAAAAATTAACCCTGACATTCCAATACCAGTGATGTACATTACTAAATAATTAAACTCAACTTGTAAATTTTTTGTTTACATACTTTAGATTAAGAAAAGTAATTTTTGAGATTATTTAATAAGGACAATTTTAGAAAACGGTTTTGTAATCTTTATAAGAAGCGTAATGTTTAACCGAAATTGGTTTACCAACTGTTTATTGGCAAAATTATAATTAATCAATAATTAATTTCTTTTATTACCTAATATAGAACCTTTCTTAAAAGGAGACGTGACTGATATCATTCCTTTTTCTTTTTGAATATTTGCAATCGTTTCCGCATTGAGTACAACCTCAATTAATCCAACTTTGTTATCAGTTGAAATGCATCCATATGGATTCATCCTTTAAAAACATAATATTGTCATTATGAAGATTAAAAACATATATATATATATATATATATATATATATATATATATAAACCAAATACCTCAGATCGAGTCCTTCATTTTTCCACAGTCTGTCCATTATTCTAATCATTTGAAGGGTAAGCATGTCTTGTCGCAGATCGTCACCATTCTTAAATATAATATAAATATCATCACCATAAATATCGTCATTTTCTAAGACAACCCATAGCGGTCGCATTTTACTGTCCATGACTCGACATTTTTCAATTCTGTGGAGCAATTATAATTATTTTGTTGTAAAATAAAATTTTAAAAAAGTAAAATAAAATCAATATATAGTGTAAGGAACTTACCTGACACTTTTACACCGATAGCTTGGATCTACCGGATTTAAAATTCCTGCGAAACTTTCTGCCATATGTTGTTCGCCTAGTGTCTCCTGGAGGAATACACGGGCTTTATCTTTGTCCCGACGCTGCTTTACAGCTTCGGCTGTCGCTTTTAACTTACTGACAAGCTCAACCTGCCGTGTAAGCGCTTTCATGTGGTCTGGTGAACCTCGACAATATGCTTCCAGCATCAAACCAAATCTCACCCATACTGATGCAACATGCATCTCTGATCTAATGACAAAGTTTTGATGATAACAAACGATATTAAATATGGTATACGAACGTCACTTTAAAAACACAAACCTGAGATGCCAAAATAAATAATGGCCCATTTTTCTATTATTTAAAGCTCTCCTAAGTAAAAATTCAACTAGATCACAATGAAGATAACATTCATGTTTTAGAGCTTGAACAAGTTGCAATAAAAATAATGATAGTTCATCATCACTATAAAAAAAATTAGACAAAGTATAAAAAACACAAAAAGAATTACCAATGTTATATTTTCCCCCCCCCACTTACGTAACTTTTGAGAGACATTTCACAGCATAACTTCTAACTGCCTGGTCTGCATAAGCATAATCTAGAAGTTCCAATGCCCGGCCAGGTGGTAGAAGAGGCCATTTGGACAGCAATGCCATAGCTTCGCTCACCTAGTCATAAAATTTTGTAATTTATATCTTGTTTGCCTTTTAAATATATCACAATGATGAACTGAAACCTCATTGTGGTCATTCCATTCGACACAGTCCAACAATTTGGGCAGAAGGGCAGTTTCTTCTTTAAGAAGATCATATCTGTGCGCCCAGAGATCTTTTCTCTCTTGTTCATGCATCTCATGAAGAGGATCACGCCCTGCTAAACTTCTAATGAACAGAAAATAATAACAAATATTGATGAGCTAAATAAACATTGAACTTTAATCAAATATTTCGCTATGATACATATGATTGGGAACATCGCACGCACAGTGGGCCAGATCGTATGTTTTAGGAAATAGGCAAAATAATAAACCCCCTATTAAAAAATTGAAATTGTGAGCAAAGTTTAAGCATTAAGGGCCCCATGCAAGCCTGTCAGGTACACCTGAACAGACCATTGGATGACCAGCAGGTGGTTGAACTGAAGGAACCGTACATGTTCCGGCCAGCCATCAGTTGAAACTTAATTTAACTGAGGTCAGGCTCCAGGTGCTGTTAACAGCTAACATGTTCAGCACACAACAGCACTTCCTAAATCCATTAACACTCTCACACACCCTAAATACACTCATACCCATTTACATACCATTCACTCAGTCAGGGTAGTACACCTTCTATATAACTAACCTAACTGAATGTTGATGGGGTTCTCAATAATCCATCATCCCTCTCACACCACACATTCATGCCAATAAATACAAAATTTGGTCAATCAGACCACCCTAACTATCCCTGAGAATCTAATCCTGATTACAAAATTTGGAAAATGGCAAAAAGAGGGAAAATTCAAAAGGTTGTAGGTCGAGAGGTAGTGGCCAAGTGGATCGAAGTCACAATAGCTCAAGCAGTAAGAGCAGAGGTGTATTCAGCCGAAGGTCGTGGGTTCGAATCCTGCTCATGACACTAACTTTTTCAACTCAAGCTTACATTAGGTACATTTACTTAATGTAATGAAATAAACCTTACATAAAAAGAATAATTAATTGAAATAAGTAATTTGGTCAATCAGACCACTAAACATAAACAGATTAATATAAACTCTATATACAGCCAGGGAGTTCACCCTTCAATTAGGTGGGAGACATTGAGCAACTTTTCTCTGCATGCCAGAAACATATGCGGGGCTTTAACCCAAAAGTAAGTATCGGTGTGTCAACCTCGCATGGCTCATCAGGTAAGGTTGACCCTTCTTACACGAGCCAGGTTCTCCCGAGGGTCACACATTGACAGTGCTCGTGATATGTGAGAGCTCCTCTGCCAATCCAACCAATGTATTTAACAGAATAATAACAGAAAATAATATATAATAATAATAATATTAACAGAAATACTTTGATTGAATATATATAAAAAAAAATATATATATATATATAAATTTTGCATTGTATAAATTCACTTTTCCACATCCAAAATGTAATTGTTATATGTAAACAATGTTTGTAAATCCCAGGCCCTGAAGATGATCTCAATAAAGATCGAAACGTTGGCACAATAAAGAAAATGTTTTTCTGAAACCTACATCTCACCAGACCGCATCTCACGTTTTCTAAATAAATAACAGAATAATGTACTTAAGTAATTTAAGTTAATGACTAACTTTACTGCATGGGCAACAGGAAAGGACTGAAAGGGGCTTTTGCACAATTTAACATTTTATACATATTTATTTTAATTTTTGTATTTGTAAGTCTTTATATGCTTCAACATAAAGATGGGCCATACAAGGATCACAATTTAATTTTTTTTAAACGAGGTTCAATTATTTTGTCTGTTATCTAAATTAATTAAGATTAAACTTTGCCCATAATTCAGTTTTTTAATATAGGGTTCAATTTTGTCTATTTCCTAAAATATTGCAATCCGGCCCATAGTGCATTGGTGGCCACAACAGTTAGAGCACTGTACAACAACCCATACTGTAAGAATCCCAGGTTCAAATCTTAGCTGCCCACTGCAAACTTACTTGATATGTTCTAAAGCACTTCGTGAAGTCTGTAATCTAGGTGCACTCGCATCATTTTCTTTGCTGTACTCCAATACCTTTTCTAAAGGAGGATATACTACTGTATGTTCGGAATGGAATCTATATAAAAATTAATTCAACAAATTACAAAATGAATTGACAAGACTTTTGTTTAATGATGAAGATGATTTACTTATGAAATGTAATTGTTAAAGCAGCGGCTTGATCAACATTTGTGTTTGAGACAACTGTGCCTAATGAGTGTAGAAGATCATCAGTCTGAGTGTCTTCTGCGTATGTCCACATGTACAGTGTCATAGCACCTGTTTTTAACTGATTTTTAAAGTCGTAAACTGTTGTGTTAACCCAACCCAAAGGCTCGATATACATTTCCTGACAAAATAAGATAGAAATTTAAATTTTTGCAATGATTGAATTAATAATAATAAAAATAATAAGGGGTAAATGAATTTACCTGTTTGGCATCTTTTAACTTTCTTGATCTCAGCCCTTTCGTTTTTGATACTTCACAAACGCAAAAGCACAGGCGAGCCATTCTCGGGATGTTACAAACCTTGATGTCAAATTGAAGATCCTCATCCCAAGTGCATTCACCTTCTTTTGAAACTGGCTGACTCGAGGTTTTTTGTGGTTCGCACAGAGCTTTGCCGCCGTGGAAAAGCCCGGCTTGGACACAAACATCGACAGATCTTGTAGAATCACAATTAAGCCTGCAAATCGCATTGACTTGGAATGCAAATGGATCGTTGATGTTCCATGAGCTAATGAGTTTTCCTTTCTTCCTTAATGTAAGCGTAGACGATGACCTAACCCGCTTGTCTTCATCAACATCTTCATCATAATTTTCCAAATTCACTGAAATAATTAAAATTTATAAATTTTATTTTTATTATTACATAGGACATGCCAAATAAACTAAGTAGCGAAGGACAATACGGCTATGGCCACATGGGCGAGAATTCATGTTTATGTTGCATTTTTTCATACCACCTGGTATTCCTGCATAGTATAAAACAAGAGCTGTTTTTCACGCTGCTGAAATCGGTACTCTGGCTGCACAAACCTCCACTTTCTAGTGTGCCTTTACACACTATTGATGAAATGGTTCTTAACTGAAAATACAGTTGTTGCATTTTGTGCCATGGTTGTTTATTCATCATTCCCGATGTCAACATAACAGAAAATGCTGAATTCATCCAATATATAGAAACAAGCCAGTGAAGGGAAAATTCATACTTACACGTAATATTCTAGAGCATATAATCTGGCCTATATCGTATATAATATAGCATAAAAAAAGTTGCAGCTTGATTTCCCATTTATATGTCACTCCAGCATAAAATAACATCAAACAAATAAACCCAGGTGCATTTACTATTGCAACCAGTCTGCCTCCAATGCGGGTGAATTCGCGCAGCATCTGACCACCCTAACTTGAATAAATTAATTGTACTTATTGTGTGTTTTATCCCGCTGAAGGAGCACAATAGATCAATTCAGGTCGAGGTGCAGTAGGCCTTGTGGCCACCTCTTTTATCCCTACCCCGCTGTAACGTGGCATGAATTCACACCTGTGCAGCCATGCCATAATTAATAAAAAACAAATAAATAAAAGATGTATTGACTTGATACTTCAATTCAATTTTGTATTATACCAATAAATTGATTTTTGCATCTTAATTCTCTCCGATCACCCTGGTCTTTCAGCCACTATTTAAGATAATAAACAACACATTCCAAATAACGATTACATCTGACAGACAAAAACAGCCAGGATTATCGGAGACAATTGAACTACAGGTTATGTCACAGGCCTTAGAGCAATATCTCATAAACCTTATTTATTTATGACTACATTAAGTATTGTGAATACCTGGGATAGTATTGACATCGACGACTATAAGTGTAGGCTCTACACCTCTTTCCAGAGATTCCTGTATATATTTGAATTGGATGAGAGGAACATCCCCTACAAGATATTCTTCCTGGCCTTTCACTTTAAAGACAAAATCAGATACTCTTTCCCCTCTTAGCTGGTGAGTTCGAACCTTTTTGCTCAGCACTGTCGTCATTAGTTGGTGAGGGGTTGTGCGATGTGGTATATTTAAAGTGAATGAGGACTGTAAGATATAATTTATAAATTTATTAGTATAAGTAAAACATAAAATGATTAAAAAAATATTCTTGAAATACCTCCATTTTTTGGAATTTGATAAAGAGAAAGAAGTTGCCGCCTTGCAGTTTACTATTTAAAGACTGAGTGAGACTAGAGGTATCTATCCTGGGTGGATATTGGCAACATAGCCGTTCTAGCCAGTCTTTATTTTGGCAGGATCTGTGTATGTCATCAGTCAATGTTTTCATCTTCCACCTGAAGTAGTTCACTTCAGGGTTCTTCAAGGTATCAAATTCATGTAGAGCTATAAAAACAAGGCGTTCAATTGAAATAAGAAAGCACACGTAGTTACGCAATATTAATACCTTTTCCTATGAGGTGACTGATATGAGCATTGAGCATTTTTTCCGATTTGTTGCCTTTTTTCTCGATGAGTCTGAGAACGGCCTCAAATGGTTTGACATCGCAAAGCCGTTTTGATTCATCCAGCAACTCCTCAGTGGCAGCCATGCTGTTAATGCAAGAGAAAACGTACGACGAGGCATCTTGAAGGGTCCAATGCATTGGAAACTTTGTTGCTTCTTCAAACAACTCCTTAAATTACAATAAAATTTGTTTAACTCAACCATACTTTGCAGAAAAAATAAAACATTTAAATTTTTTTATTTTATTTTTGGTTAGTGAAATATCACATCAATTATTGTGTTGATTTTGAATTGAATAACAGTTTTTACCTCCAAAAATGACTATCAAAGTTATAAACCACCAATTAAAAAAAAAAAAGTTGTAACGATATATTTATTCTCTAATTGTGATTTAATTGTTATATTCATATCAAATTATTTGTTATCTGGTCGTTACTGATCATTTTGGTCTCCTTACCCTCATTAGGTCGTGTACCATATACTCAGCATGTGAGGGCAATTATTAGGTTGTATGCCATACACTTTTCGACATATGAGGTCAAATATTCATACAGGAGGATTTAACTTTTTTCCAAATTATACTCAATTAATAAATTAAATTCCATGGGCTAAGCGGAGAACTGCTAGGTGAAGCAAATATGAGTCCATGTATATAGAATACTGTGTAATGGAATTATATTATTATAATTATATAATAATTAATGCATTAATATAATTAATATATTCTGTAACTGATGATAAGACCTGGCCAAAAATGAAGTGTAGTGATTCAAGAGAGTCATAAGTTCAAATCTACACATTCGAGTGCATGATACATATATGTGTAAAATTGAGTTTACATAAATAAATAATAATCAATTATGCTTGGGACCCTAGTAGCTGAGTGGTTAAGTCAAATTTGACTAGTGGATCTGGGTTTGAATCCTGGCATAGTCCTTGGAATTTTATTAGATAAAGGGTTATCCCTCCTGAACGACAGCAATTATGTTACATTACATAATTATGTTAATTATTTAGTTTCTACAATAAATTAATGGTGGAATAGCAAGTATTCCACCAATCCTTATTATGTTAGTATTGGCAGATTGAATAAATGACGATCTAGCTAAAGCTAATCAAAAATACCCTAAAATATGACTATTAATGTTGCATTAATACTGAAAATATGTAAATGAAGTTAATTTGTGCTATTTTTAAAAGTTAAATAAGATGTTATAGGTACATGTAAAAACTTATTGGCATTAGTTATAAACTGTGTGGTATCCATTTACCTAGATTTTGATACAGGATACCGAATGTATTTTACAAGCAGCCTCAATCACTTTGAAACCGAGTTGACATTCATAAAGCAAAATAGAGTGAAGTTGAGTTACAACACTAGCCATTTTAATCGTCCGAACATGTAACTAATACCGGATTAGAGTTTAATACCACCTTCATTAGTGTAAACATTGGTGTTATCTTAAGAGAGATCACATTACAGTCAAACCAATAACAAAAACATTGAAGCCCAAACAAACAAGATTAATTTTTAAAACAACATGATATTCTGTGATTAAATAAAAATCACAGCAGTCTCTTGTAATGTGGGAAACCAAGCATCACTGAGGATAGTAAGAACTGCGGATAATAGGAAACACTGAATAGAATTTCAGGTTTTCAGGCTTCAAAGCATTTTCTTCTATCTGCATACCAATCAAACACTTTCTTCATTGTGTGTCTATCGTCTATCAAATGATTTATAATCATATATATAATCAATTATATTTTTAACATAAGGTTGAGATGAAAAAGCAAGCATCACGTGCACAATCCGAACCCACAACCTTTGGCTCAATACGCACTACTCTAACCACTTCCACTCGGACACCAAATCATCATCTCAACCTTTCGAATTTTTACATCTTTTTGCCATATTTTCTGGCGGCAACTTATCAAGTGACCAAGGGGAGCTGTTAGCAAAGTACTTCTTTAATTACTATATTAATCTGTACATCTATTTAGTAGACATAATCGACCTATTAATTAATTTAATTAATTATCATTTTTAACTAAGGTCTCAGATGTGATGAAAAAGATAGCATCATTAGAAGGACTCAAACCCGGAGTTGCATCTGAGTGGATCAAAGTCCCGTTAACTCATGTTAGAGCAGCAGCGTATTGAGCCAAAGGTTGATATATATACACTTTTTTTTTTAACAAGGGTTTTTAACAGCAGAGGTCATATCAACCCTAGGGGTGCCGGTGTTTTTGAAAAAAGGCCATTTGTAAGTATGTCGGGTTCAAATTCAGTGGCCCTTCATTTGAACGCAGGATCTTTACCTTACAGTGATGAGCGCCTTAACTGTTGTGGCCACCGACACTCCCTATTTAATCAATTCTTTTTCTGTTTTTTTATTTTTACTTTTTTAAATTAGTTATTGTGTTTATAATTTATAAATATTTAATTAGAATTATATACTTGCCTCTTTAATTTCGTGGAGAGTTGCATATTTGTTGACTTGGATAGGGATCAACATGCCCGTCGGCATAAGGCAGCTCAATTCGACATCAGTCGAGGCCCGCAGCCAAAAATCATGGGCATAAGTACTTGGCATATGAACCATTGTATAAAACAAAGCTGGTACAACTCGACTAAAAAGCGGAAACAATGATATGGAACCGACTTAACTTTTCAATGTAGGACAATATGTGAAGATTGAAAATCTCACCGGATTTATAACGTCACTCGGACTTTTTCACAACCACCGCATATCCCGCAGGACGATAGAATGTGACATTCAGAAAATATCAGTCCTGCCTGCCTTTCATCACCCATCAAACTGTACTATTAACCTAAAATAAACACTGTTTATAGATAAAAGATTCGTCTGGCGGAGTTGTAGTTGGAAACGGGCGTAAAACAGATTTCTTTTTTTTTTTTTACGGGGTGTTTTCAAAATCGGAATATACCGTGTTTTGATATACTTACCCTTATATCACAAATTGTTGTATAAACACATATTCGACGGTACCGGGCTGGGTTGGATTCCCGTACATAACACGGGCGCCTTCCGACTCACGGTTCCGAGTCAAAATTGTGGATATATTTTTGAAAAACGTCTTCTTATCTATTTACAAGCCAAAACATGAAAGAATAATGACAAGTAGTCGGTGGCCATTTTCTGCTTTTATGCCCGAGCAGGCTACGGCATGTTTATATTTTTTTACACCCTTTCCTCGGCCCTAAAAAAAGTCTGTTCCCTTTTTTTTTTTTTAAACTTTAACGGTTATTTTTAATTCTACGGTGGACGGTCCGCCGAATTATTAGATTGTTCGCTTTTTCGGGTAACGGTGAGCGTCTTATTTTTCAAATTTTCACTCGGACCCTTTGGACTTCTCAATTCTGAACTACAAACAACAAACATCAACAGTCACGGGCTACGGACGACTCCCGTGACAACGACATTAACTACAAAGACAACTTTTATGACAAATTACAACTAGGGTGTTAATTAAAATATATTAATTTAAAATACAAATAAAAATTCTACTCCCTCTAGTTTATTTATTTATTTTAAGGTTTCCCAATTACAAATGTATATAATAAAAGTATAAAGGTTTAACTGTACGTAAATTTAGAAATATTTATAAAATTTAAAAAAAAATTAAATGAATTGAAACAATTTTAAATACTGACATTATTAAACTATATAAATCAATTATTAATTATATCAAATTCAATATTAGTTAATTGTATTAATGATACAATCTTCAATTTTTTATTATAAAATTTGCTTAAACTGACATTAATTATATTGAATGGTGAGTAGTGACCATTAGTCAATAATTATTAGGTTTCAAAAAAACATTTTCTTTATGGTGCCAATGTTTCGATTTTTATTGATCATTGATAACATGTATTTGTTAAATTTAAACAATGTTTGTAAATCCCAGGCCCTGAAGATGATCCCAATAAAGATCGAAACATTGGCACGATAAAGAAAATGTTTTTCTGAAACTACGTCACACCAGACCGCATCTCACGATTTCTTAATAATTAATTATATTTATATATTGAAAGAATCTAACAAATTTGTCGGTTTCGGTGTAAAACTGAAGTTTGCATAATTAGTTCTATGACAAAGAATGGAGAATGTTAATTGATTTTTGGAGCATGGAACATGAAAGCTGATTCGGTTAAGTCAGTTAAGGAATGTAATAATTTATACAATAATATGCGATCAAAGAATTTCCTTCTATACAGAACAGTCGTCAATTTCAGATCTGATATTAACGATGAGTATAGTGTCTATGTATTCTTTGATTGTTCTATAATGTATCGGCATAAAAATCTTTTTTGAACCACTTCTATGCACCTAATATTGGTGGATTGAAAGCTCAAAGATGTGAACAGTAATCTAATGGAAGAGTATAAAATTTTAAGTGTGTCTGGATCATGTTTAGTATGACGTGTAATAAATCCTAAAGTTTTATTTGCTTTAGCAATAGTTTTATTAATGGGTGAATGTTTATCTGTCTGTCAATAATGATGCCTAGATCTTTGACAATTTCATGTCTAATTAGTAGCGAGTCTGATATAACGTAGTTAAATTTTATAGGATATATTATTTCATGGAAAGTCATAACTGAACATTTGTGGGAATTTAAAAGGATATAATTAGTTGAACATCATTTATTAAGTTTTACTAAGGATTGATTGAAGTTGTAAGTAGTCAGTAATAGAATATTGGTCATAATGAATGGAAGAGAATCAGAGAAGTGGTTTATATAGATTTTAAAAAGAAAAGGCCCTAAGATAAAAATATATTGATTTTTACACATTTAACCCTCCATTTAACAATACAATTTTTTTCTGGAAAAATCATTAGATAATCTTGTAGAATGGTGTTCATGGAACAGATGAAACTAAATGTAAATAAGTGTAAAGTTGTTACTTATAGTTTTTGGCATAGCCTTTTACATACACCTTACAAGGCAACCAATAGGACAGGTAAACTATCATACCATCTTCTTTGACTCGACTACTGTACCAACACATTTAACTTCCATTGCACTTTAATAATTAAGGCTAATCAAAGTTTAGGTTTTGTACATAGATCTCAACAAATTTTAAGGATTCAAATGATTGTAATACTATTCGGTTGTTTAGTAACCACATGAAAATACAGAGAACATGTTTTATGGAAGGTATGGAGAAAATATTGGGATTAATCCCCCCCCTCCAAGAAATGAAAATAAGCGCCGAAAACTATCATCAGCATCATCAAAGAGAAACCTCCAACAGAACTAAAATTAAAATGGAGAGATAGCAACAGTGTAATGAAGGAATATCCTATACTCATGGCTCCAAAAGATGACATGAATTGGATGTTCGAAAGTAAAATTTCCTAACAAACAATAATTTAGCGTTCTGCTTAAAAGTGATTCAAAAAGATTAAAAAATTACTCCACCGAACACAAAGAATCATCTTTCATTGGTTAACATGATTTTTGCATCAATGGTACAGAGTCATTCAGTGACAGCCAATGGTACGACCTCTTGGTGTTACTGCACACCATTTTTCATAGCATGTGTAATCCGGTCAGAAAAGTATTTTATGCCATGAAAGCAATAAAAGGCAAATGTTTAAATGCTGTAGCTTGTTCCCATCTGTCATTTATGAGGAACACATTTGCTTAGCTTCAATGGCTTCTTAGCTTGAACAAATGGTTTACATACTACATAGTTTCTACCATGGTTCATCTTCAATCATATGCGCTCTCTTATTGTTTCATCACCGAACGTGGTGCAAAATTTAACAAGCTGCCTTGAACGCCCTAGTACTTAAAATACTTGCACTTGTTAATATATTGATTAACTGTTTTAAAACAATAACAAATAACACAATTTAAATTAAGACAATAACATGACTTTTCTGGTTACCAGTATGTAAAATCAGAAAAAACAGTAATAAGTTATTAATTAGGCATAAAAACTAGTCAAAATTTCTGTCTACAAGAAAATTCTGTTCTTTGATTCTTTCATTGCATTTAAATAATAAATTCAAATTAAAGATAAATTCACAAATAAGAATTTAATGTGTAATAAAGCAGAGTGCAATTGTTTTCAAAATTAAAATAAATAGTTAAATTTCCTTTGTGGATGATTAAAATAAAGGACACTTTGTACAAATATATATATAAAAAAATAAAATAAATAAATAAAAAAGGAAAACCATAATTTAACTCAAAGTAAATAACTAGTTGCAAATGATAATTTATTATATCTGGAAATAATAATTATACATTTTTAAATTTATTATTATTAATACAGTAATAGTGTGAATACATTTTTTTCTGGTCCTTCCTATATATTAGTGATTAAACATGTGAACCTTTGTAATTAATCACTTCCCCAAACAATTCATTTATTATTATTATTACCATTTGTTGATTATACAATTTTACACAATGTACAAGAGAATTAGTTACAAAACGGGAAGAAAAACAAAAGCAGTATCAATAATCCTTTATACAATGGTACAATTGTTCACTATAATTATTTACAATAATATATTTATAATTTTATACATCATATACATAATATATAATACTTATTTATTAAACACAAATAATAATTGTTAGTTTGTAATAACACTATATTTTATTTTATTTATTTATTTATTTTTTAAATTCAAGGCATTTTTTTGTATCCATGACTAGGTTAATTTATATACTCTGACGATATTAAAGAAACAACTACAAAAACTGTTTCTGAACTGTATTTATTGCTTCATTTGTGTTTTAATGATTATTTTCATTGATTGATAACATACAAAACTAAATAAATAAAAATAATATAAAATAAAAAAACACTATTACAGAGAGAAGAAATCTTGAGGGGTAGAAAAAAAAGTAGTGCTCCTTTAATTATGACAGCTGAAGATGAAAGGTGTAATAAGTACATAATTCGCCATCAAACAAAAATAAACAAAACAATTAATTGATTTATTAAATAATTTATTTTTAAATAATGAGAGACTGAAAATTCTCATTGCACAAATTTCTTAAATAGAAAAATGATTAAGTTAATATTAATAAAAATATCCATCCCTTCTTGTGCGACTGTTTCAAATAGAAAATAAAAATATACCATTATAGCAATGAAAGTAGATAAAAGTATAAGAGTAAGGTTTTATTTTTTGATTATAAAATAATTATTTATAACTCCGATAAATACTGAAACAAAGGAGACAAATCAATGCCATACAAATATACATAAATACTTACAAAGATTAATTGGAAGACTAAAAAGTAAGAATAGATTTTAATAACCTATATCTTAAAAAAGAAAAGACTAGAAACCTTTGTTAAATAATATTTAAATAGAATGAAGCATTACTCCATAATGTGCGTTATAATTATGATAAATGTTTTTACTTTTTGATGTGTTGTCGACAACATCCCCTGATTAAAAAATAATAAACCTTATTTATAATTGAGCACATTTCCACGTTCGTTTACAACACAAACAGTAACAACGTCAACAATTGGCAGCTAAAATGCCCAAAGTAAATAATAAAATGATACATTTATGATTATTACACTCTAGGCTCTTCTGCTCGGTGGAGGAGGCCTAGGGGGAGGCCTTCGCTAGCAATTAGAATTGTCTCTTGTTGACAATCTGGTGCCATACTGCATTTGCATAGGCGGTGCTGGAGCTTGAGCTTTAGCTGAAAAAAATTAAAATAATAATAATTAAAAAAATATGCCTGTATTTCGTTGCTTAAAAAAATAAAATACAGCAATTTAGCCCTAAACACTTACCATAAACATACCCTCTGGTTACTAATTGAGAGAAAGCAGAGAAAAAGTCATATAACACAAATTATATAACGATACATCACATATGTATGAATATAAAAAATTGTATGCATACTTTTGTTTAATTTAATCTATAATATTAAATAAACTAATATTATAAGCAATAAATATTATAAAATAAAGTTTCTAAAATTATTAACCTATAGCTTGATCATCATGTTGTCTTAATGGTCTGCCTATACATGAGCGTTTATATGTCCCCCCCCCCCATATCATGCTAAAATGGCAAAATAGAAATAACAAAAACAAAATTTGATGGAATAGTATTTTATATTCTTCCGTCACCCTGCATAAGCTATGCATCTAACATAAGGGTTTAAGGAGTACTTGATATTCCCCCATTATCTTAACTAAGATTAGAATGGTTCGATGAAGTTGTTCATAATCATACACCACTGTATATACAAACTGTATTACTAAACATAATGAAGACTTAATGTAGTATTTTATATTCCTCCATCACTCTGCACAAACCATATAACTATCGTAAAGTCATATAACAGTACATAAGTAAGGATGAGAACTCATTCCTCCAACAAACAGCCTATAAAACTAGTTAAAGTTCTTCAGTGGGCCTGATCAATAACAAGATTAATCCCTATATTGAAACCAAGATGATCAAGCTACAAAATTATAATATTGCAGATTTAAAAATTTTACTTACCATTTTTGCTATTGTAAAATTTGAGTACACCCATAAATGGTGGAGGTGGTGGAAATTCGCTCATTTTGTGAAATTTATATTGAAATCTTGTCTCGAAATCACCTTAAAAAATTAATTAATTAATTAAAAATAGATAATTAATAAATGTCCACAAATTAATTAATTGTTTTAAATTTTACACTGAGTGATATTAAAAGACCATAAGCAATTCAAGGAACAAACCTAATCCTCCATTCCTCATGGAAGAATTTCTAGCAGGAGGGGGTGGCGGATTCATCTGTGGTAACTAAATCAGTACATCATGATTAATAAAATGTGATTACATAAGATGGATAAATGTAAATAAAAACTTACTGGAGGAGCCGACCGATGTGGTGGCAGTGGAGGAGGTTGTGTTGGTGGTGGATGAGGAGGAAGAACTGATCTCGGAGGTGGTGGAGGCCTTGAGGATGGTGGTTTCAACGGAGCTCTAGCCCTTGGCATCCCACCTCTAATTAGTGAATCCGTCGATGAATGAAACATTGGTGCTTTTCCCAAATGGCTCAAGCCATTGCCATTGGGGAAAGTCGGGGGAGCCTGATTTTGTGGGAGTATTGGAGGGGATGCAGGCGCCCTCATACTGTGTGCTCGTGGCAATTTTCTATGCTGTTGTCCTGGTGGAGGTGGTGCTGGAGCTTGAGGTTTTGGAAGAACTGCCGGTTTTGATCCTCTTCCTCCCAGCCTACCATTCTGAAGAGACACTGTACTTTGTGACCTTGTGTGTGTCCCAGTTGTAGATACCGTCAGTGTTGTGTCTGAAGCGCTCTAAAAAAATAATAATAAAAAAAATAAAAATTTGTAATAGATCATAACATAAAATTTAATGTAATGTAAATAAATACTGTTGGAAAAGATGGCTTCTGTGGTGTTGGAGGTGGTTGTGGTGGTGGACCTCGATTTTTTATTTCCAATTTTTTGTTAAGCTCTTTACTAATCTATAGAACAAATTTTATTTTTCAAATTAAGTTAAACATTCAATTTATACTATCCAAATCAAAATATATGCATACGTTTGAGTTCAAAACTGAAGAAACGGAAGAATGGTTACTATGAAGGGATGAATGATTCGAAGTTGGTAATGAATTAAGAGAGCTTGATTGATTTTGTTGCGCTGAAAATAAAAACATATTGTACATTAAACTTAATACCACAAAAGGAAAATAGAGCTGTTAATAAGTTATATATTCTTAAATATTAATTAATAAATTACCATAACTTAAACCAGTTGGTTTTAACTTAGGCATGCCATCGGCGAAGATACCAGCTAGTCCATTTGTTCTTGATATCGTAGCCGATCCGCTTTCATAACCCTGGCCTTTATAAGGCTTTGAATGAGTTTCAGTTTCACTGCTGCCATTTACAGACTTTCCTAAAGAACGTATGTATACCATGAATTTGATGTATAATAACAATAAAAAACACATACAAATAACAATATTATTAATGAATCATAAATTTCTAAATAAAATCTCAATTTCTGTTTAATGAGTGATAATGAAATTAACATTTGAATTTTACATACTTTAAACTTTTATAAAGTCTAACTGTTATTAACATTAAATAGTAAATTAAGAAAAAAATTTCTTGCCAATTACAGATTACGCTGTTGGACAAAATTAACACACCACCTTAAATTTTAATATATTTAGGTTTATTCATATTTTGCATACCAAAAGTAGGTTTGGCTGTAAAAATAAGACATTTAAAAAGAAAATATTATTAACTAATTCTTTAAAAAAAAAAAAAATTAAAATATATATATATAAACAGGTCACAGAGGTCGTGTTGTTTTTTAAAATGTTAGTATAAATCTAATTCCATTCGTCGGGAGGATTANAATTAGTTAATAAATATTTTCTTTTATACATTTATATATAATAATAAAATGTATGTTAAATGCCTTTGCATTCCTTGGAAAAGATTTATGGTAAAATCCTGAGGAATTCTTTCGCATTCATCAAGAACAGCAGTTTCCAACTCCTCTAGGGTGTTAGGACCAGGGTTTCACCTCTGTATTTATCACATAAGTTGGTCCCAAATGTGTTCAAATCTGTTTGAGCTGGCTACACCAAGCACTCAATTCCAACCTCATTCAGGTAAAAACCTCTCACCAATTTGAGGAGGTAAATGGCACTACATGTTTTTCGATTATGTATTGTAAGTAAGTGCCTATGTGAAGCTAGTTATGTTCCTCGCACAACAACCAATTTTGAGTAGACGTCCAAGGAAATGCCACTCCAGAACATAATTTATGGAGACTCACCTTCCAATGTCCACATGTTCCTGTGCGAATTGAAACCTGGCCATTTTCTGAAATGTGGTAAAGAGAGGTCCACAAACCGTGGCCGGGCTTTGAGGTTATTTTCATTAAGCCGCATTCTTACAGTCCTGGAGGAAATTGAAATATTACGGACTTGACTTCACAAATTTCTTATTTCATTTCTCGTAATGCTGTGCTTTTGTAGAGCCTGATGACGGATGAATGTATAGTTTCTATCATACGTAGACCTAGGTCGACCCTGTGTGAAGCCCTGATTCTCTGAATTGTCAAAGAACCCTTCCAACTGGAGAGTGATTTACACTCAGTCTCCTGATGACTTTACGTTGGCTATTTCCTTCCTGTAATAATTTTATGACCCTGACATTGTCATACTCACTTATATGCCTGACTGGAGCCATTGAAAAAGTTTAAGAGTAAAAACAATATCAAATGGAATCAACGAAGGAAAAATATTAACTAACAGCCACCTTTATGCGTAGCAGAATGGAAAGGCATTATGCTAATATTTGTGAAAATGGGATTAATCAGCACAAGAGTAAACAAAGCTATATTTACTGCTATTTTGACTATGATAGCTCCTAATCCTGCAACTAATAAAATAATGGATTTAATTTTAAACTAAATAAATTGAGTCGTGCGTTAAATTTGTCCAGCAGTGTAGTTTAACAATTATGCTTCTTACATTTCACACTAAAATTACATGATTCATTTTAATAAAACATTATCTCATTAATATGAACACATTAACATATGTTTGTTTATTAAATTATATTACCTATCATTGGAGCACTTCTATCTTTGGTGACAGTTTTCTTCAGCTTTTTTCCCTGGCGAATAGATTTCAACAGCAAATCTCTACCTTTTTCACCAGAAGGAGGTCCTGCAGATGATAACCCAAGCATAGGGGGTGGCGGCGGTGGAGGCCCCGGTGGTGGAGGTGATGGTGGACCCACTGGCATCTTTTTACCTCTAAAACATTCATTTTAATTATGTACTATAAATGATTTCAATTAAAATTCTAACATGCATTTGTTCTTTATATGTATATATATATATTTTTTTTTTTAAATTAGGGATTTGGGAATATTATTAATCATATATCCATGAAATTGGAGCTCTATACCCCAGTTATTTAGTTCAAGCTCCTAGTTACATATGATATTGTTTTATCTTAGCAGCCATAAATCAATAATATCAATCTTTACATCAATTTTTTTCTAAATTTTTCAAATACCTCAATAAATATTGGTTGTTCATATTGCTAGTTTTCACGCTGTTCAAAACATTCTATGTCGAACATATCAATATTGTATACAAGAGGGCCAGATAAGATAAATTGGTTTTAGATAAAAGCCTATAAAAAATAAAAAAAAAGCTGGTGCAAATTAAACTTCTATTAAAATGAAAAAAAGTTTTGTGTTGGTCAGGAAAAGAGTAGGTGGGTTCTAATCTAGTCGTTTAGTATAGGCCCCTTGCTTAATTGAGACATATCACTCAATGATCCAAAATAGTTTTTAAAAACACAAAAATTATGTAAAAACACACATATATAGTTTTTTGTACAAAAATACAAAGTATTTATATAATAAATTCAATAAATATTTGTTTCAGATATTTACGTACTACTTATTTTGACTTTTATTTATATTGATTTACAAGACAAAACTTCTTGTGGTGTTGCAAAAGGACCTCAGTAAGTTTAAACTAATGAATCCAGTATAATTATACTACCGTTAACTTTTTCATTCTTTTAAATATTATATAAACTAAAAGAAATATTGCACTTGATAAATATAAATTTTTGATAAACCATAAGCAGTTTGTATTAAAATAGAAATGATAATTTACTCTGTGACACATCCTTGGTGCTTTAATCATTTATGACTCATTTCATGACCTTAGAGGGAACTCACTTCCACTCCTATGGAATATTTATTCGGTATATTTTTAAAGAGAAAAAAAAAGGAATTCAAGCCTTTATTTGAAAACAATCTAGTGTTAGTTTCCTTTATTTTCATACTTATTCCAAGCGCTAAACAGTAGTTATTTACAGAAGAAAATTCTATTTTCTCTACTGTTGGCATAAATTGCAAATACATTTTATATAATACTGGCGTATTGTATCTGAAGCTTCTGAATTTTAAAACTTAAATGGCAAACCAAGAATAATTATTCTTTTTTGCCAGGTTTTCCTGACTTTATTTTGAACTGAATATACATCGAAGTTACTTTATTTAAATTGTACAAACTTCGTAACAAAAGTTAATTCCAGTGTAAAATTTGAACATAATTTTCTGTCAAATCAACATAAATTTACAACAATATTGTACGACAGAAGTTGATCTGTCGCTTTTGAACTAAAATATGTATCAGGAAAACCAAGTTTTCCTCTTTTATTTATTTCTTTTTTATCTAAACCGTCTAATTATTAGCCATCCATAACCACCCCCAAATCTTTTTATTTGTCTTTATTTTAAATCCATTTAGTTTAATTTATTATAATAACTCCGACAAAAGTTGAGTTTGATAAATCTAACAGAAAAGCCAAGTTTTGAATTGTCTAAACATTATATGCATTGTATATATTTGAAAAACTATTAGATTTTTTAAATACATACTTTCTGAATTGATGCCAGCTAATTAAACCGTTTATTACAGTAAATGTACAAGCAACGGCAGAACAATGTTATTTTAATTAATGAATGAATGAACAGAATGAATAGAATAAAATTTATTTTTTTAAATAAGTTACAACAAGATAAAACAGTGCTTTACAGTACCAATTTTTATACCATCTGCCAGAGTAGTTTTTATACAAAAAAAAATTAAAAAAATAAATAAAAAAATATTAAACAATAATTAATATAAAATAAATCAAATTTGTTAAATAGGCGAAAAAAGGTTATTCTGAAGTAGTATGGATCTTACAGTATGGATTTTATTTATCTGTCAGAGTTGTGTATACACACAAAAAAATATTAAAGTATGAATATAAAATAAATTCACTTTGTTAGAACAATGAGAAAAAGGTAACTTTTTTGTTTGCAAAAATTATATTTTTTAACCAGATTATACTTATAATTCCAGCATGCCAGGCATATCTTAACTTTTTCCCTTAACAAAAACTCAAGTAATTGTAATCTTGTTAGTCGAAAAGACCCTGAATTGCAAACCCCCCCCCCAAGGAGTGCTTTCCGCCTTAAAATAGAATACATTTTCTGGACTGAATTGAAGATCACAACCTGTCGTTGCCCTACCACCAAACGATTGTATTTAGACAATACATTATAGTACTTCATACCTTATCTTCAACAGCCATCGAAGGTCGGATTGATTTAGACCACCTAAAGTTTGATTTCTAAAAACAAACACCATGCTGCTATCAATATTCAGATTCAACATTCGCCACTGGCCAGATGTCTCTTTGGTCAATTGAGATTTCCTAATTTCATTGTCTTATGGATTGTTTGTCTTGTGAAACTTCTGACTCATTTCAGTTGTTTAAGGTATCCAATGAGAAGTTGCTAAATCAGCACACATTTGTAAAAAAATTGTGTTTAATTCCTACACTTTCTTAGGATTTATTTTATGTTGTGTTTTATTATCAGTATTTTAATAAAATGTGCTCATCAAACAATTCATTTTAGAGTAAATTAACACTCAATATGTCCCAGTGTTTCTGAGTATATGGTTGAACATTAGCTGATAAAACAACATAAAAGTTAATTTTAACATAAAACAATATCCAACTAATTGACTATTAAGAATGGCCCAGTTTACAGGCTAAATGTTAATCACTATTCTTTTATCATTAATGTTAATAACTAACCAGTAATCTGGGTAATTTTTTGGGTGGCACTGCAGTTTACAAATTTTCTAAAATTAACAATTTTGGCATGGTATTTGACCGTGAGCTAACATTTAAGAAGCATATTGTGCAAGTGGATTCTAAAGAATACCACAATCTGGGCTTTATTAAAAGGAACACCTCAGACTTTACAAATTTGAAAACCATTAAAATGATCTGTTTTGATATTGTTGGAGTATTTTTGACTGCTGTTCCTCTGTTTGGTTTCCTTAGAATTTGCAGACTTATTCAATGAAATTGGAAAAGGTCCAAAAAAGGTTTGTGAAATATACAGTTTTTAAATGGAGCTCAGATGGGAGGAAAAGGAATGTTTTAACTCTTCTTTTTCATGTGTGGTGATTAGTGACCGTTAATCGATAAGTATTCAGAAATCGTGAGATGCAGTCTGGTGACGACTAGACAACCATCAAACTCATTTATATCCACTCATCTTTGTATTGATATCGATTTCAGGGGCATCAATGAAAAGAAAATGAGTTTGACAGTTGTCTAGTTCCTGAAAAGAAACCCAAGAAATATAAATGGCTCTTGGGCTCAGGAGTGCCAGCTCATTTGTCTGGAGTTATTAAGTAAAATAAATTTCCTATTTCCTAGTAGAAGGAACATTAATACCTTTTATCCTGAATTTCATCAAACTCATTTCGGACCGTGTGGGACACTTTTTATCAGTGGGCTTTTGATGACAATTTTGGCAACATCCGAATTTCTATGTAAATTTGAATAAATGATTATTTGGAGATCGTGAGATGCGGTCTTATGTGATGTAGGTTTAGAAAAACATTTTCTTTATTGTGCCAACATTTCGATCTTTATTGAGATCATCTTCAGGGCCTGGGATTTATAAACATTGTTTAAATCATACAAATACTGTAGGATGTGAAAAAATGAATTTATACAATGATAAAATTTGTAGACTCAATCAAAGTATTTGAACTCACTACTTTGACTCTAAAAGCTCCAGCATTGTATAAATTCATTTTTTCACATCCTACATGTATGTCACACCAGACCGCATCTCACAATCTCCAGATAATCATTAATTAACAGTCACTAAACACCACACACGTTAAGTATTGTGTTAGGGCTGTACTACTTGGGAATTTTCCAGTAATGTACTTAACAATTACACACTTAAGAACAAGTCATTACGAGCAATACCAAAGGAAACAAACTTTTTTTTATTGCAGGTTTGTGTATGAATCATGGTGAGTGTGACAACACAAGCACATAAATAAAAAATAAAAAATTTAATTTAATAAAAAAAAAAACCTATTAAAAATTGTGAATTATAAAAAGTAAATTACCATGTATGAATTGTGAAAGATACTCTGTTGATCATAAAATCATTAATGTTTTAATTATTCACGTCGATTTCTTATACTGTATCAAGTGATAAACTCAGAACTGTTAAAAACAAATTATATTCAATGTTGGTATTTGTACTAATCAGTTGAATGACCTTTTTTTTTAACTTTTACATAACGTTGCTGATAATAAAAGCCATTATTAAAAGAGGATGAGCTTCAAAAGTGTACAACACATGTGAAAAGTATAAAAATAAAAATAGAAAATAAAAGTCTAGGAAGGAAAACAAAACTTACATTTTCGGTGATCAGTGTAGAATGAAATGTTCAAGTCCCATAATAAAAAGAACAAAGTGGCTTTAGCCGGATCGATCTCCGAATTCCTATTGAATCCCAGTCGGAAGTGGAGTAATGTTAAAAGATAAAAAAGGCCTGCTTTCTCGTCTGCTCCACCTTATTTCAAAATGGCTGGATCTTTTCAAGTAGGAGGTAAAAAAAGGAACGACGGGGAGACTTCCTCTCACACGGAGAAGGACTCCAACTGCGACTGGAACTATTTTAATATGACGACACTCCGAGGGCACTTTCGAGTTACACTAGTCATTTAAAATAGAAAATTATCACTAAAGAGAATAATCACAAAAAGGACAGCCGAGTCCCATTTCCATATTTACTCCACTTCCATTTTAACTTCGCTAATCACCGACGGTCGTGTTACCAACTTTGAAGTTCCCCTTAGAAATATACCGCTGTGGCCTGCGAGAAAAATGCGTTTCACTTTTTCTCTCTTTTTTTCTAGTGACAAAAATGTTCGTACAATTTTTTTAACCGGCAGGTTTATTACAGAACCGATTTGCAGGTTTGATAATTTATTGTATAAACAATCCTTTTTCTTGATTTCTCAAAATTCATACACCAAGCTTTAAAAAGAAGAATCTTCAGCCGACAATTGTATCAAAATATGTTTAATTTTATATTTAATGTGTTTTTCTTAGTGACCTATTGTATCAATTTATTGAAGTCGTGAGGAGCGGTCAAGAATGAAGTAGCTAAAAAAAAACCTTTTTCATCTTTTTGCCGATGTTTCGACCTTCATTCGTGTCATCTTCAGGGCATAGTGTGGTGCTGTGAAAGGCTACATTGACACTTTCTTTTATGCCCATCCCGTTCCTTTTTTGTTACCGTTGGAGTATATCGATGGCGACCTTATGCGGTCAAAATACAGCAGCCCAATAACTTTTCAGCCACAGAGAATGGCATTCTTGTGGTGTCATATTGGTTTTGTGTGAAATTGTTGTGAGGCAAGAAATTTCACACAAAACCAATATGACACCACAAGGATAGCTCCACACTTTATGCCCTTATTGATGACTCAAATAAAGGTCGAAACAACAGCAAAAAATGAAAAACGTGTTTTTCTAAACTACCTCATTCTTGACCCTCGCCACGACTTCAACAAATTTATATTTAATCTAGTGTCCGTTTAGTCTTCCCCGTTTTCTTTACATAAAATTTATAGGAAATTGTCAGATAACAATGCTAGGATGCAGGTGATCTTTATAGTATTGCCACAGACAGAACTCTCTCCCACAAGGGAAAATTATTTTTAAATATAGGTTTTGTATTTTCACATTTTGACAGGCAAATTATGCCTATTAAATAAATATGCATATCTCATATAAAATAATAGCAAAAATAAAACAAATTAAAATACTGATAAATAATACACATACAAAATTGTGTGTGGTTTTATGTTTTGTTTGACTGTGTGTATTTATTAGTGTGAGTGATAAGGGATAATGGTGAAATATAGCACTACCATAGCCCCTCCAGCAGTGAGTGTTTAGAGATGGTGTAATATTTATGAAAGTACCAATCGACCTAATTTAGGCTATTAATACTATGTATAGGACAATGGAGGATAATCAAGTGCTCTATTGACTAATCAGAATAAAAGCTATGCATGATGTACCAATTAATATATTTAGGGATAGGGATTACTTTGACCTAAATATATCTATTGTGCTCCTCTATTTTTTATAACTCACTGGCCAGATTCAGGTTGTTATTCAACCTCCATAGCCAGTGGCTCCTTAGTCTCAGGATCTTCCTTGTGGCGTGTCCTCTCCTAGTTCTGCACTTACAAAGACCTTCACAAAAACATAAACCATATTATGCGTTCTACTCTTTTTCCTGGCAGTATCTGCCCAGAGTTTATTCTGTCTGTACTCATATTCAGTGCATATACCACCTTAGGTGGCAATGCGCTGACAGACCAAACAGAATCCTGGTTCCGTTGCGGATGTCTTTCAGAATTCCCTTGCATTTTGCAGATGGCGCTTTATGCATCTCTTCACGTGCCTCATGCCCAGAGTATTATTCCACCAAATGTTGGATTTATTTATCCAGTTAAAGATATATCCTCTTTTGTGGTAAGATGCTAGGCCACAGCAGGGTTCAGGACGTAGAATTCCCTCTTTAGCCAACATGTTAACCTTTTCATTACTACCATTATGCCCTGAATGCCCAGGGACCCTAATTTATCTAAGGGATATAATAGCTCTTAAAGGGCCCAGTATAATAATATATAACCTCGACTAATATGTATGAATAGATTATTTGTATTACTGTATGATAGAATTTAGTTACTTTTAGGACATATTTTAGTTTGCATACATTGGGGGCTGAAATGACCTACCTGTCAACAGCTCCCATTGGTTGGAAAGCAATTCTGGATATCTGGCTTGGGAGAAACTACGTAACCCAGGTACATAACAGGGTAGGTGAACTCCCTGAGGTATAGGCCCTAAGGTCAGCACATTGGGGGGAGGGGGCTGACAATACTCCAGGAAGAAAGTCCAAAGCTCAATAAAAATAATGCAAAATTGCATTTGACAAAAGTAGTAGAAATGCAGTCAAAATCTTTAATATGTATATCCTAATTTTAATTTTAATTAAATATTGAAACAAATATATAAATTTATGAATATAATTATAGGTTCAATTTAAAAAAGAAGGATAAATAAATGAAATAATATAAAAATAAAAATTAAATATAGCACAAAATAATAAAACAATTAATAATAAATACTGTTAAAAGTTTTTATTTTATTTTATTTTTAACTATTACTAAACACTAAAGACACTCTTACGTGACATCATACTTCCAAGTTTCATAATTCATATTCAATTTCATAATTATATTATTTTTTTTAAGTAGTTCAGTTGTTGGAAGGTTGTTTGAACATAAAGCATTACTGCATGTGGAATAGGAGGGAATAAATAATAATTAAATATAAAATTATGATTTTTATACAATGACATTATGTTCAAAAGTTTATGCCTATATGAAAGGGAAGTTAAATTGAGTTGTGCTAGAGGATATTTATAATTAATTTAATAATTTTTATCCTAAATCTAGATGCAATAAGTCTTAATAACTTATTTTGTACCTTGTCGATGCTATCAGAGTTGGATTATGGAAAATAATAGGAGCATACATTACATACCCTATATTCAAGATGTGATGTAGAAAGGTAGAGCAAAAAAGATTTTTAATTGAAATGTAGAAAACACTACATTCACTCTAGCATGCACAGGTCAGTATTACCCTGAGGGGAAGAGGGAAGAGGACTGATGGCCTATAAAGGGTCTTCATTCCTTCTAGATTTCCAAGTTCAGGCAATATTTCCTGGCCCAAAAAGAGTTATTGCCGAAGCATTTGACTAGTTCAGATAACCAACTCACACCTCCCAGCCTTGGTGGCCTATCTTTCCAAGAAAATGTCCGGCAGTTATCTCCTGAATGTACAATAAATGAATAAAAGGTCATGGCCCTTCATGGGAAGCACCCTCAAGAATTGTGTTTGCCACATGTATGTGCATTTCCACATATATGTGAAATATAGAAAGAGTGGCCACCATCCCAATAGAGGATAGTCTCCTCCACTGGTATAGTCCCAAAAGCCTTCTGGAGAACTTGGAGGCAGTAGGTTTACTCAAAAACCTTTGCCTCCACGCAGAAAGACATAATATTATGCAAGAACTATGAGATTTCCCCCTGTGGTTGGCTGAGTGATAACCCTGTTTAATTACTTACCTTTTTTCCATCCTCCTCCCCCACCCTAAGGTGGAGTTCCTAAGGGAGATCCCTACCGGCATAACAAACGGCTACTTGGCATGCTAAAATTACATTTTTTTAAGGCCTGCATTTGGCTTCCTTCACCTATAAAAGAAGGCCAAATAAAGGAGGGAGATTATACATCTTTAAATATACTTATACTAATTCAATAATTTTACTGGTTTCCTCTTTTAAAGAAATATCTAGAAAGGCTTATAAATATTTACATTTATATATTAAAATTTTACATTGTCTAATTAAATCAAGAGGAAAACAGCCAAAAATAAAATTTCCTAATGAATGATTGTAATTTAATCAAGCCTAATAAAATAATAAACATGAATAAAATATCCATCATAATATTATCAGACAAAATTTGTTAAAAGCCTGGCAGTTGAGAAATCTAGACTGACTTTAAGCGCCAGTTACTCGAGTGCTCTTTTTTGAGTATGTCACACTCTTCCTCAAACCTCATGCATAAGATCTTGTGCTAGACATACTCTTTGAACCTCACACTCCATACACAGGGGGCTCTTTTCTAATTTTACTTTATTTTATTTATTTGGATTTGTATACATTTTTTTTTAAATTTATGGAGGTAACTGACAAGTTGCCATACCCTGTCATCAATTTGGCTAGTCCAGTAATCTGGAAGGATTCATTTTCCTTGGGTTCAACCTTGAACTGGTGGTAAGAATTGGTAAGAGAAAAACATCTCTTAATGCTATTTTCCATACCATTTGTACCGTACCATATTTTCCACCTTTCATACCATTTTTCCTTTACCCATTTGACCATAAACCATTTGCTTTTCCTCATTAATAGAACATATGATTAGCCATTCCATTTCATGGCTCCTCAGGCCAATTGTTTCCCCCCCCCCTATCTCTCAAAACAGTGCCTTTTTATCGGCACAATCAGATATATTAGAAGCAGAAGGTAAAACTTGTAGGGCTGGTTTGTATGCTGTCGTCGTCCTCAGCAATGCGACTCTTTGGCTCTGTTCTTTTGAGCTAATGTTTTTAGTTTTTCTTTTCAGCTTAGGAACTCATGCTTCTGCACCATAAGTTTCGTTGGGAAGGTAAACACTTTTATAGAGGTGCATAGGGCCACCTTAATCCCCATGTAAATTTGGCAATGTTTTTGAGTTTGGTATGGTTTGTCACTTACCTATCATCTTGGTCTGCCTCTCCTCCTTGTTAAGAAAATATAAATCGGCGATGATAGGCAGACCAAGATGATAGCTAACTATCAAACAATACTACAAAAATTATCCGTAAATTTATGGATTAATCTTTTAGGATTGAAAAGAAACGGATGTGCTTGGCTTTGCTCGAACACCATTTTGAAGGGGGAAAATCTGCACTGAAAAACATGGGCTGAGAATTAACATCTAAAGATAATGCGGATTAATAATTATAAAAATAATACAACTCACTCTTCTCATTATTCTGCATAAATATTTAGTTTTAAATCATGAAATTATCTATTGTTTATAAACAATACAGTCAAAACTACATTATTTTATAATAAATAAACATCCACTCTTAAATGAAATATTCAATAAAGCCAAATTCTAAAAGTAATAAAACACATTAGTATTTTAGGGAGATTTATTTATAATAGTGTATTCTTTTCAATGTACACTAAATTCTATTTAATGATTTAAGTATATTGAAAACTGATTTCAACCAATAATTACATCCAAAATGGAAGAAACAAAAAAATATTTACATCCAATTTTTTAATGTCAATTTTTTAAAATATTTTAAATAATATATATTTCAAGTCTTAATTATCAACATGAAAGTTGTTTATTACATTGAATAATTACACATTCCATAGTTACCATTTCATAAAAAGCCCATATCCAGAGCGTTGTAGAGTGCTATGAGGTCTGTGTGTGAAGACACCCTCCAAAATGGAAAGTTCAGCTGTAAAACAAATCACAATGAGATATAAGGCTATAAAGTTAACTTTTTAAATGTGTATATTTAAAATTAAATATTTTATTTAAAAGCAAGTATGTATATGCTAATGGAGCATGCTAATGAAAAATTTGCATTTGTACATAATATACATATGAAATTTGTTGCATTTCAGCATCACATCATCTTCAGTGTTGGATAGACCCAACACTAGAGATTAGAAAATGCTGGAGCCCACACAGTGAGGATAGACCAGCCATCAGTAGTTAATCGGTAGTGACCAAATTATTGCAGGTTCATCATCCCGTGGACCACACAGGTATCTTACAATATACTTCTGTATATATATTCTTTTATTTCTAATGAAGTGTTGGGATTGTGCAAATGAAAATAAGTGAAATAACAGGTCCTTACTTGTTTTGCAGCTGATTCTTCATCCTGTCCATCGCCAATGACAACGTATGTACACTTGCTCCTCCCAAACCGCGTTACAATCCGTTCAAAGACACTTTCTTTTCCTAGGAAAAAGGAATATGAGAAAGACTGTCTAATTAAATAAATGAAATAAATAATGAAATTTTACCAATTTTTGAGGCTGAATAGATATTTTCGACTGAGAATACATTTCCAAGGCCGAATAGGAGTGTTTTTGCGAGTGCGGGTACCAACTGTGTTGTGGTCACCATGACATTAACACAATTATCTCTGCAAAATTTACATAATGTTTAATTGCCAGGTCTAAGCAATAAGTAAATTAAAGTTAGAAGAAACATTTGTAAATTTTATATAATACTAGCTTTATAACCCCAGGGGGATAATAAAAAGTTCTCTTTTTTGTAAATCCTGATGCCCATTATTTATGTGCCCATTTTACAGTCTCTAAATCCATCTGACAGTAATAAGAACTATGTGAAAGTTCGACTAAAATCAGTTCAGTAGTTTTTGTTTTTATCATTAATACACATACGAACCTTCACTTTATATATATATATATATATTATCTTGCAAATTAAAGTTGAAGTGTAATTAATTTTAAGAAAAAACAAAGTCAAAAATTATAATGACCTTGTGTTTATGTGACTTAGACATTTTGTTGCAAGTGTGAGCCAGTTATCTGTTGCAGTTTCGATATCCGATCGAACCTGCAGCCACTGCTCCCGCTTGGCAGGGCCAATGAGTCCTCCCACAGAATTCCTATAATTGTTGTACACGTCTTTCATCTTTCTATATCTAAAGGCGAGCTTCCTCATCCAGTCGACTCCACCGCGAACGCCGACTCCGCCCTGGCATGCAGTGCCCCCACCTCCAGAAGACACTGAGAAGCCATCCGATGAAAAATTATAGGAGCTCAGGTCCTGCCCATTGTCATCGGATGACACATCGTCAATATGGACCTGATCACAATCCTGTAAAGTAAATATGTCATTTAACATGTTTTAATGGTAATTTACATAATAAAGTTATAACAAAAGTGTAATAAAATTACCTCAACATCATTAAAGAAAAAGTGGGAATCTGCAAGATTGAAAATTAGTTCCTCCATCTTAAACCCCAATTGAACTATGGACTGGGTATCCTAGAAATAAATATATTTTTTATCTTGATTAGTCTGCCATTCATTGACCAGATAATTAATATTTTTATGATAACAATTTTCTTAGTGATCGTGGTACACCATTTCTTGTGTTATGTTTTTTTAGATACAATTTGTCTTTTCAAATATTTAAGTTATCAGAATAGTCATCTGAGTATTACACTGAACTGAATTACTGAAATATCTTACATTTATTTATTTTAATTTTTAGCATATTATATCTGTTAACTTTATTGTGAAAAATTATGTTTAAATTCTTATCACAATTCAAGAACATATCAATAAATAACACTCCCTTTTCAAAAAGTATTCATACAATCTTGACATGCCTAAACCTTAAATATTGATTAATAATTTAATTAATAGATTAATTTAATAATTAAATTATAAATTAATCTACCTTGTTATATTTAGAGGCATATGTCCCAGTGAGGAGGGAATGAAAAATAATAATAGTCTCATCTAAATCCCATATGAAGACTCGTTCAAGGTTCGACTCAGAGCCTATACCAGGACTTGGCGGTCCGAGAGGACAGGTAACCCGCCTGCCACGTCCTCGTCCTGTTTTACCTTCCACTCGTCTCTCAGCTTTAGCAGGCGACGGAGGTTCAGAAGTTGCAGGTGAATCCGACACATTCTGGGAATATGGGGGCTGATAGTAGCCTTGCTGTGTTGAATAATAGCTTGCAACTGCCACACCACTGTTCGACGAGTAGTTTTGGTAGTAGTCTTGCTGATAGTTTTGGTAACCAGAACCGTATGAAGGGTATTGCTGATAGCCAGAATAGTTGTAGCCGTTACCTAGCTTACACTGGCTCCTACTTCCAGAAGGTAAAGGGTATGTTGTAGAAGGGTAGCTCGAACCGTAAAAACTACTAGGGTTGACATATGATGTGCTCTGACCACTGTATGCCTGCATGCTGAAAAAAAGTTGAATCTAGGTTTATAATACGTGAAAAGATGAGTCTGCAAGGTGATCAGACCAATTACTGGGAAATAATTTTAAAAAAACGAATAGCCAAACCAGTGGGGTAAGAACAAATGTTATCACCAATAATTATTCGATTAAAAATACAAACAATCCTTTTTACAAGTTCCATAAAACTTTTATTTTCAACTCATTATGTGTAATATGAATTAGTTTTACCTTTGGTAATATTGGCTATTATAGTAATCCTGCCTATAAGAGCAATCAGTGTAGTTTTCTGGATTTGAAAGTTCCTGGTTTGCTTCAGTTTTTACCTCAAGGGCACCTGAAAAGTTATTTTAATAAATATTTCAAACATGGAAAAAAACATTTCAAAACGTTTTTAAAGTTTTACCCGGAAGTTCAGGAGTGAGGGTGGACGACCAGGGATAGCCATGCTGGAGGCCGATTCCTGTAGCCATGCTCTGTCCAACAAGACAACCTGCACATTCAATATTAAAAGTTAATCTTTTTAAATCCACATTTGATGAAAATCTCCCTGTTACTCACTCTCATTCTGTGGAGAGCTGCAGTTCGACTCCGTCCCAGATGAGATCTCCCCAGCCATACTGGAGTTTCCCTCCCGTTGGGCATCAGGTGTATTCGAATTATTGAACCCTTCTTTGACAGACTGAAATAGAAAAATGATGTAGCTAATATGATATAGAATGTATGTACTACGTAATGTACAGATATATTATATTTAAATTTGGTTAATTAACATTAGAAAAAATAAATCTAAAATACATGTGTACCAAGAAGCTTATATTTTAGTTATGTAATCGTACATTTTCATGGAAAATTAAACAGACGTCAGAAATCACAAATGCAAAACTATAATGGGGGTTGAAATTCTATCCAGGAGCAGAAAAGGTAATTTCCAATTTTTTTACGTTTTAGGCGAATACTCGGTTGCAAAGAGGGCCCAGTTAACCATGTGTGTGTACGTGTGCGTGTGTTTGTGTGTTCGTCTGTTCCTATCTATTCCCCTCTCGTTCTACAAAAAGGTGAAACACGATCCTGGATCCCCCCCTGACAAAAGGACGGGCGAAGGGGATGACAGTTGATTGAATGGTTTTAGGCCGGGGGAATAGTTGAGGGATGGAGAGAAATGAGGGCCCCTCGGCTTTTCATTCCGGATAACAAGGGGCCCTTTTACCTCCATTACAATGGCCCTTCATTAGGAACAGAGATCAACAAGCGCCCTTCTCGAAAGTAGATCAACAAGTGCGGCACTCTGAGGTCCCTGAGCCTAGGCGAAATAAGTTTTATCAGCCAGGTTGATGTGTTTGCCAAAAAAAGCAAGATTTGAAAAATATTCCAACTGTGTTTTGTAGCGTCTACGATCCGTCTTTTCTCGTTGGTTTTGCCTGTCACTCGCATTTGGTCAGTGAGTTAAGTCCATCGTAAAAATTGTTTGAAGTGTGCCGGTATTGTCTTTGTACTATCGGCGTTAACGATGTGGACTAAGTCAACTTATAACAATTTAAAACTTCAACTTTGTTAAAATTGTGAAGTATTCCTAAATTCGGTAGGTCGATGTGAGCTGGATCTTCTATTATTATCCCCTTGTTTCTAGTATTCATCATTTATTTTTCTGGCAGTCTGTTTACTACCATACAGTTTCAGTCCAGTGGATTTGCCTGAGAACTTTCCTATGACATTTGTTAATTTTAGTACTATTTGGTCGATTGTTTTTATAGAATTGTTTTCTTTTAGTCATGAATGAGTTTTATATATGATCTGTCTGTTCGTAAGGGTTATCTTGTTAAATGTTTAGTGTAAGATTTTTTTTCTGCAACAGCTTGAAATTTGTTGAATTGTTGCAAGTTGGTCAAATTTAAGTGTTAATTCAATTTTCCGTCATTATCCTTTAATTATTTATCCCTTCTATATACCTCCCCTCGCAGTTAACTGATTTTTATTGTTGTTTTTTATTAAATGGATAAGTTAATTTTACATCATCCTTGAATGGCTATTTGTTGTACACTGTCATTTTTTTTTTTTTTTTTTATATTTCTGAGGCCTTTTGTATAGGTTTTTCAATCTGTATGTATACGTGTAACACAAATTCAAATCATATCGAGGAAACTGTTAAACTGAGTTAAAGCCCTGAAGTTCCGTAATTTATTTTTATGAGTCAAAGATTAAGAACAGTATTGCGCAGAGGAAAAAAAGAGATAATGTTTGAAGGAGAAAGGGCATCAATCGCCTCCTCGATAGGTGCGGGGGCTGCCTTATTAACGGTGACAATAAAAAAAAGTTTACAGAAGCAACAAAAGTGAAATTACAGTGCAATAAATTTAATAATGAGGAACCTTTAACATGTTGAAACCCTAAATTGTTACAAATCGTATATTTTAAATTTACTGTCAAAGAGAAACCTCCAGCATGGCTCAAACTAAAATGGAGAGACGGCAACAGCCCAATGAAGCAACATGGCCCCATGAGACGACATGAATAAGACGTTTAATTTCAAGCAAAATGCCCAATCAAATTTAAGCCGAAAACAGAATGGGAAAAAGGGAAAAAAAACGGCACTATGAGCTAATTCGCTGACGTATTTAGAACGCAGGAAGGTCCTAGAACCGCTCAGAATCCATGGGAAACTACAGCAGTATCTTCCACGTTGAATCCACGCAATCGAGAGAGGTACCTAATTCAATCTGAATAAAGGGTACAAAAACAGAATATAGCTCATGTCAGATAGCCAAGCAGCTAAGTTCAAACATCATTATATCAAAGATGGTGCTGAACTGCAAAACTAAACTAAATATATTAGGTATGCAAAACAAAGTCTCGCTGCTGGGTCCCAGGGTATGTAGTAGATGGCAGAGAGTAGAGGGCAACGGAGAGCGGACGCCCATGCAAGGAAAGGAGCTGCTAAACCGCTTATATGCCCTGAGTGTGGCGTAGGGATTCACACTATCAATGACTATTTTAGACAAAAAGACGAATTAAAAATGAGGAAACACACTCATTGAGCAACATTCCAAGAACCTTCTAGCAAGTTTTGAAAGAAAAGAAACATTACATCAAAGGAAGCAGGGAAAACTTTGAATCCTGACAGGATTCTTGACAGGACACTGCAGACTGAATGGGCATTTGATTGGTACAACCCAACACGGCATGTGCAGATTTTGGAAAGAACTAAAACTCACCGGTGTGCTCTAAGTACGGAACGGGGGTACAATACGTTTTAAATGGCGTATATCTACATAAATTTATCTCAAATAACTACAAAATTGAATTGAGTAAAAGTAATTTGGGTATTATTAAATTATTCCTCAATGGTGATGGTGAAGAATCTTATTTTTTTTTTTTTAATTTAGAATGAGGATTTTAAACAATATAAAAAATGTTACTTTTCTATTATCCATGGGTTCGTGCACTGGGGCATGCATGAAGGATTGAGGGAGATGAAAAATCGGATGACCCTGCGAGGAAGGGTAATGCTGACCTGGGCGGCTGCAACCCTTCAACGTTGAGAAAACAAAGAAATTTTTAGAATAGAAGATAAGGTAATGTTAAACAGAGGGACCCAAGGGCAGAAGAGTCTTATTGCATACGAGAAAGGAAAGAAATTTCAGCATATATAAAAATAAGAAGTAAGCTGTTCAGAAACGCACCAGGTTTTTCTGTATTGCATTTAACATCGATGCAAAGAATAACACTCCGGCTGGGCCGTTGCAGCTGTCGAAATAGGTAAAAACTTCTCACTCACTCTCACTTCTTAAATTCTTTAAAAAATCTTTTCTTATAACAAGTATGTATCTATACAATGATTTCCCAGATGAAATTAAGAAGGCCTCCAATATAGAAGAAATTAATTTTTTTAAACTACAAATAAAGAATGATTAATATTTGAATTTAGCACATCTCTCAAGCATTCAAATTATTATAGTGCATTGTTTGTTATTTTGAACAAATTTGTAAGTTCTTTTCAAGATTTGTTCCTTAATTGATTTAGTGCAGTTTAATGAGGTGATGTAAATATAATTTTATATGTATGTAATCCATAACATTGTAAGTAAATTTTGTAGTTTATTATATGATTTCTTTCTTCATTGATTTATTACGGTTAAATGAATCTATATTTTAATTTAGTTATTATTACTGTTCCACATTCAGCTTATTTTTTTAAAAGTATTATATACATATATATTATTCTATATCTAGAAGCGTATGTATGTAAGTTCAAACGTTCGTTTCTTGTTGAGTGTAAGAAAGGTCAAATTGACAATTCTGCGAGATTTGCAAAAATAAATCGTTTATCAAATCAAATTAATCTCTCTTTCTTCCCTTCTTGTTCCTCTCTTGTTGTCTGTTTGTATGTCTCTTTCCCCCCTCTCTATCTATCTATCTATCTATCTACCTTTAAAGGAGTCGTGTACATTCGATCTACAGATATAGAATGTGGACCCAAAAACATGTATTCTCGCAATATCCTTCAAACTATAAAAGTGGGCTAATCAGAATAGCGTTATTAATCCGTTCTGTAATGAAATCAAATTAGGTTGTGTGCTTTAATAATAAATACTTTTTTTAGAAATTGAGGATTTAGGCAGTTTGTGTTCATATTTAATCACTTTTGTTAAATCGAATGTAAAATAAAAGCACACACGTGTAGATTCAAAAGACCTTTTGTCTATCTAAGATCTGATTGACCTGAGACACCTTGAACCAGCCCCACCAAATAATCCACAAAATAATTTATACTATTTTCCCTATATTGTGCAGGATATTGTATTGCAATTTCCCTATAAGGAAGAATCGTTAAATGGTTTTAAAATAAAAAACGTCTGGTTTGAATCGTATAGTTCGCTGGTGTCAGAGGGCAAGTTCGTTCACCTGCCCGCCTTTTCACAATTTATTCTTCTTATCCGTTGTCTTTAATCCTCATTTTATGATGAATCGTCGTCTTTGTTCTCCCTCTACCATAACCCGAACTATCTCCGTCACCGGGTACAGGCGATAAGCCGGCAGGAAAAAATGCTTGTGTATGCCTTTTTCCTGTAAAAAAGAAGAAGAAAAACAACTGCGGACGGACAGGCGAAGATTTACCAAATCGAGCTTTAATAAACCCCAACAGTTCTATTTTATTTTTATTTTTTTAATGGAATCCACAATGACCGCTCAAAGCCACAAACAACTGAACAAAAATGGTCGGCTGGGATAAGTTGGAAATGGAAAATGTCAACTGATGATGCCCATCAAAACATTCTATTGCCTAAATCTTTTTGAAAAGGAGTTTTCTAGAATAAGTGTCTATAAGAATTTTTCAAGTACAAACGTATTCACTATATTATTGACAAAGTGTACTTACACAAAACTACTCAATTGTGTATGTAATGAACTGATACAGATTCAGTTCAAATAATTGCATATATATATATATACGCAATACAAGTCTAATTACTCTCATAAATTTCGTTTTAATATACATTTTTGCTAAATTTTAATTTTAAAATTGCAACAAGAATGAATACAGAGAGGTAAATTTGTCCAGTAATCGGCTATTGGAACCATTAGGTGGGACATGGAGGTTTTCACGAATTATAGCATTTTATGGAACGCGAAAAGTGATGGTAGAACGACATTTTATTGAATGTTAATTTGCGTAAATCCTCC